AACCACTTTTTTTCTACTGATTGGCTGTGTAAATGGTCTAAAATAGAAATGTATACCTATCCCTGGCCTTATTTTGGCATTTTAGTACATATTTGTTAAAAATCTGATTGTTGGGTCAAAACTTGTGTCTGTAACGGCCTCTTTAGGATCAACTTCAGCCAGTACTTTTGAATTTCACGGTTGATTTTAATGTCTCTCTATGTCTTTTTTTAATTTTATGATAATTATTTATGTTTTGATTAGTTTTTATTATTGTGATATTAATGTATTTCTTATTCTGTAAAGCACTTTGAATTACTTTAATGAATTGTGCTATACAAATAAACTTGCCTTGCCTAATTTTGGTGTATGTGTTATTATTTTATACTGTAAGAAAGTAGAGGCAATGGAAACTATTATCGTACACAATATATTTTTGCCTCCAATAATTTGCATATTGACTTGGTTTGAGTTTCACCATGAAAAACCCCGAAACACCTTTGTCAAATATAAATGCATGAATGGTACAATGATTTCAAATGACAAGAAATATCACAGAATTTAAACCTATAATTATCATGTGTGACCCATACCAGTGTTATTATTCTGTCCAAAGCAGGTGGGAGCATTGAAATTACCCTGAGTCATTCCTGTGTGCTGTGAATGTGTGTGTCTGTGTGCGCATGTATGTGTGATTTAGTGATGTGATGTTGGGTTGTTTCGAACAGCTGCTAAATGAATGGCTGAAACTGGATATCATTTTTAAAACAACTAAATCTTTTTCTTTCTAATATTATGCATTTTTATACTGATTAACCCTGAACCAACATGAGAAATGAGAAATCAACACAGAAACACAGTAGGCAACATGAGTGACAGACAGCCTCTTGAACTAAAAACAGATCTGGCATCATAATACTAATAGTTTTTGTTGTAGTGGATTTTTATGTTATTACAATTATGTCATTGGGGTAAACACACTCTGACTCAGTTTGAACCATTTTAAACAGATCTGAACCTTTTCTGATTCATTTCTCTGTGATTAGCTGGTAAAATTACTTTTCACATCTTATAAATAAATATAAAAAAAAGTCGTTTGAATTGCTCTTTGACATGAAAGAGCTGGAAGTCCCATTTCTAGTGTGTGTGTATGTGTGTGTGTGCTTATCTGTTTGAGAAGGGGCACACTGCAGAGTCACAGGCCTGCCCCCTGATCCTCCTCGGGGGCTGAGTGGGCGGACGCTGGCCGGCAGATGGATGGCTGCTGCTGCATCTCCTCCACCACCTCAAACACAAACCAATTAAACACATGCTCATTTCGGTCATGGTTCAGTCTGCTTTAGTCTGACACACAAAAGAAGAGGCTATAAGCTAAATATGTTTGATTTTTAGTTTAAAGGGCCTATATTATGTAAAATTAACTCTTGTGAGCTTTAAGCCATGTTCTAATGTTGTTACCTCCTCAAAAACAGACCTGGAGTTGGGTTTTGTTTCATTTACACGTTTGCGTAACACTTTATTATTAGTCTGTCTACATTTCCAAAGCTCAAAATACTTATGTCAAGTAGTTTTCAAGTTAACAGCTTCTTTCACCTTTTGTTCAGTAGAGATTGGCAATTCTAGGACTGAAATTATCCAAATGATTCTAGTGAAGGTGTGTGGAATTTAAAAACACAGTGGAGCACTTCCTGTATTTCACATGACATCACAAGGTGGAGTGTTTTCAGTTTGAGAGAAGAACTCAGGATAAATAAGCAGAGTTTATGTGTTAAACGTGTGTGAATGAAACAAAACACAACTCCAGGTCTGTTTGTGATGAGGAAACAACATTAGAACATACAGTAGATCAGAAAATAGTGTCATATGGGCCCTTTAAGTCATTGTTTCCCAAAGACTGGGTCGCAAGCCTCAGGTCAGTCGCAAGACATTTTTTGGAGGGGTCGCCTTGTCCTGATCTGCATATAAGCCATTTGGATTTTGAAAAGAAAAAGAAATGAGCTACATGTCCAAATAGGCGACTTATGGATCCTTTTATTGCTGCTTCAATGACTGTTTTTCATTGTTTAAAACTTGAGTAATACTAAATGTTCAGAGACACAATCACTCAGTCAACAATAAAATATCCTCATTAATGTTCACTAATGGTTAAATCCACCTTTATTGTGTGATTTGTGACTGTCTATTGACTTGAGTCGCAAAGGTTTGTGACTTTTAAAATACGGGTCCCCAGAAAAAAAGTTTGGGAAACACTGCTTTAAGTTATTTAGGACATAATGTTGACAGAATTGAGTGGAATTTTGCACTGAATTGCGCTGGAATTCAAAATGTTATTGTAATGTGCTGCGTGCTCTTGTACTTAAACACAGCCCTTGTTAAAAATATAGTTGATAGGTAACAACAATTATTGAATTACCTCTATCTAACCAGGAAGTAAAATTATAAACATCACCAAAAGTTAAAAAAAAAAAATCTTAAAATCTTACAATACAATTATGTTAACTATATTATATATTTTACTGATATTAGTAGTCTAGCCTAATATGCACTTTAAAGGTCTGTGTAACTTTTTCATCAGGGGTCTGTCACCTGCTTGTTTCTATGGATATGTCATTGCTCTGCCTGGAATGTTCCACAGCTCTACCTTACATTTATTCAACTCAAGGTGGTTTTATAGCTCAAAAATATGTAGAAAAACTGGCATTCTGATTGAGCGGTGTCGCCTCTCCACAGATCTGACCTGTAACTTTGTCTGATTTGCTCTCCATGATGATAAAATGGTTTAATACCATACTGTGAAACATTCCAGACAAAGCAGCAACATCTCCATGGAGAGAAATATTTGACGGACTTTCCACCAGAAAAGTTACACAGCACACCTTTAAGTTTAACTGTCAACATAGACGTTGGAAGTCAAAAAACCTTTTAAACCTAATGCATCGATTTCCCAGATTTCAACCTTCCTGACAAGCCACCAGAGACCTGACCTGAGTAAGAGTCTTGGCACTTCTCTTAATGCTTCTGCCAAACCCATTCCACTAATTTTCGATTATAAATAATAAAATGACTTAATTAATAAAATTACAAACCATAAACTAGCCTTGCTTTCTGCTAAATATTCAAATGTAATATTGACTAACAAGTGTGATGAATGAATGAATTACCATAGACTTGTCCTGTGAAGCTATTTGTGTACATTTTAGCTTGTGTGTTTACGTCTTCTCTGTAAGCAGATTGCAGAGTTGAGGCCCCTCTAAGTCTTGCAATAACATCTGCTCCTCTGGTATCTCTGCTCTGGAGGCTGCACAGGAATAAGCAGACACCAAAACCCTCTGGTCATCACAGCCCTGTAGGGGGAGCTGGAGAGGGCAACCTAGATCACAGTACTGCAGTTTGCCTGTAACAACGATTCAAAGCATTATTAACATTATGAATACAGTAGTTAATTTAAATTCACTAGCAGAGGTACATAGAGTAAGCAAAACTGTACTTTAATAGGAGTTCTGTTACTTCAAAATAAAATTACTCAAGCAGAAGTATAAAGTTGTGGTCCAAGAAATTATTAATGAGTAAAAAGTATTGCAGGAGCTACTGCACAATTTGACTTTATGCAATTGGAAAAACTAAATGTGGAAAAAATCAGGTGCTTTTAAAAAGTTTAACCTACTACAAAAAAATTGACAATCTAAATTATTTCTAAAGGAGCAATGCAAGAAACACAAATGTTCAAATCATTTTATATTGTTCACATAAAGCTTCTATAACTTTAGACTTACTCACAGTGGGAAGAGAAGCCAAAACCTTTACTCAGGAGTACAGTTACAGTATACAATATATAACTCAAGTAGGGGTAAAAGTATGCTGTCCTCTTGAGTATTATAAATGACTGAAATTACTTTTTTGCTTAAAGTGATTAGATTTTCAATATAAAAAACTGGGACATCCCAGGTTTTTGGTGGTTGATAATAATAAAATAGTGAAAGGAGAGTGTAATTAAGCAAAGTTGTTATGCATTTGGCACTAATGTCAGTATAGTCACATTTTCTTTGTGTTTTGGTCATTTTTAAGCCGCTTTTCTATATTTTACCTAAACAAATGACAATTTATGCCTCTCTTTACTCTTGGCAGGGATCAGATTGGTGAAAAATAGGGACACCTAGGGCATTTCTTGTGCAAAACTGAAACAAATCTCTGGTTTTAGATAAATCTGCTGGGACAGGGGACACAGGGCTCAAGAGTGGGACTGTCACTCTGTTTTTGCTTGCAATTGTCGTGTATTCTTCAACGTGTTTATTTCACATGCAGAAGTAACCCTAGGCTACGCCATCTCTATTTTAAGTTGACGATTTCCAGACCCCTAAATTAAGACATAGAAAGACGTTTTGATCATTTGGCATGTAGCAAATTGCACGTTTGAGGGATGTAAAGCTTCAGAAATACAAATTATAACTATTTGTAACACATTACTTTTACGTAAGAGAAACAAAATGGTCATGACATCATTCATAATTTGCCTCTCATTATTGACTTACCATTTGAGTCATATCGACCTTATTTAAGTTAATTACATTTGTAAATAGTTGTAAATATAATGTTAAAGCAATTTCAGCCAGATATTGTCGTTTTTTGAACTAACCTAAAATAAATTGTAAAGCAGAACGGAGCAATGTCGCCATCTAGTGGTACTAAAACAAAACAAACGCTACTTCTTGCCTCTGTTCATGTTCGTTTTTGTGCAATTTAACCACATTTAACACATTTTCACAACGAGGAAACAATAAATACCATTACGAAAAATATACACAATTAGTCGCCTGAACTTTACACCATAAATTTGTTGCGTAATAATAGTATTTTTATTATATTTTAACTAGCTGTTAGCGGCAGAGCTAGTCATTATTTCCCGAGATGCCCCGCGATCAGACTGTCACGTGACTCAATTTAGCCAATGACAGCCTTTGTTTGTCCGTTATTCGTGTGCCATTGGACTGACCGAATTTAAAAGTACAATTTGAATATTTGGACCATTTTGACTCGGCGAGGTTAGTGCGCCACGGGGTTTGGCTGAGATCGGATACATTGTGCTTACGGAATACATCTATTGGAGTTACTGGGATTTATTTTACTTTTAGAAAACAACGGGAGATTGCAAATATTCACGTTATCTGGTGAGTAACGTTACGTGTTGCTCGTTTTGCCTGATCCACCGTTGGGTTAGCTTGGCTTTGACTTATTTTTGTAATGGGGAACAGAACTGCCGTGTTTAAATGCTAATCGCTACAGGTCCCTTTGATGTGTATGTTAATCAACAGTGAAGCTGAACTTTTTTTTTTATATAATATTAGGTGAGGGGTAAGCTTTGATGTGCTAATTCCTTTTGTGTATTCGCTGTATTTTTAGGATCTTTTTGCAGAGGTGAACGTGTCTCTGCAGCGATGGCTTCGAACAACGGGAACGGGGTGAAACGAGAAGAAAAAGGGAGGAATATTCAAGTGGTGGTCAGATGCAGGTAAGGAAAATGTTACTAAAGTGTAGACTGACCCCAAAATAGTGGTAATGCTTTCTCCCACTGAGCAAGTTAGATTTGTGGATTCCTTCTTTTGTGTTTTCTTGTAAGGGGTTGTAATTTGTGTGCTTTTAATTGTATTATTCATCAATAATTATGGTCTCTTGGTATGCTGCTTATCTGCCTTTCTTCAATCAACATCCTTTTCTCAATGCTGTCACACATATAAGTTGCATGATGGGAAATTGTTAATCCTCATTTGATCTTGTTCAAGGTAAACATCTAATTTAGTGCTAGGTTAAATAAGAATAAATCAACATAACAACATGGAAAGAGTTTGAATTTATCTTACTTTTGACTAGCCACATCTTAGGACAGCGACTCTCCCTACCATCAGTGAGACTCCTCTACTTCGCTGAATGTAGCAGCCCTTTTGAGAAAGTAAAAGGGGAAACTGTCACACGTCCGAAGCCTGTGTATTTTCAACATAACTTTTCATTTTAATGTTATGTTACCTGAATCTGCGTTTCCAACTATTAGAGAAAAGATCCTGGTTGGCCCTTTTGCTCTACTCTACAAAACTAATTATTGTGTGTGTGTCTGTGTGTGTGTGTGTGGGGAAAACATTTAAAGCTAAACTATAACTCTATTTCTTTATCAATGTTATTATAATGTTGTTTCCTCATTGATGCATATCTGGAGTTGTGCTTTGTTTTATTCACACATTTAACACACAGACCCTTCATATTTAGGCTAAATTCTTATCTCAAACAGAAAATTCCATAAACCTTCACTAGAATAATTTTCAATAATTTCAGTCCAGGAATGTCAAATCTTTAGTGAACAAATGGTAAAAAGTAGATGCTAATTTGAAATCTACTGAGCTTTGGAGGTGAAGACAGACTAATTGTAAAAGATTCTTCAAATATGAAGCAAAACACAACTCCAGGTATATTTGAGGAGGTATAACATGGCTAAAAGCTCACAAGAGTCCATTTCATGTAATATAGGACCTTTTAAGTTTAAATGGCCTCCATAAGTATCATGTGTGCTACAGTTTTCAGTCTATTGTATTGTATTAAAAGAAATTTAAAATGTAAATTTCTGAACATTTCCCAGGCCGTTTAACACAGTAGAGCGTAAGTCCTCGCACAGTGTGATCGACTGTGACCAGAACAGACGAGAGGTGGTGGTGAGGACAGGAGGCCCCAATGACAAAGCGTCCAGGAAAACCTACACCTTTGACATGGTGAGAAGCTTCATTATGTGATGTGATGTGGAGTCACATATCATAGAATTTTGTGCTGACTCTGTGTGTGATAAATGTATTTACCAGCGGCTAGGGTTACATATGCTGCTGCTAATAATTAAGATGCACCTATCCAGCTTTTTCTGTTGTGATACCGATGGAAGTAAATGCTGTTTTCAGTCTCTGCACTGGTGTTTGTTAATATCAGTTATAAAGCTATAGAACTGGAGTCTGGATCTGTGAATCCCTAATTTTGAGTGCAGTTATCTGAGTGCATTATATGAATTGTTGTGCTTTTGTCACATTTCCTTTTTTGGTCGACTAATCAATCGGCAGTGCATGTCCTTATACAAAAAAATGTCTTTAGTCGATGACAAATTTTCTCATCGAACGTGTGAAAATATACTTTTTTGTAGAAGTGGCAAGTTTTATTTGGAGTTTAAGAAATCCATACAGAGATGCAAAATATTGATAAAGTTTCTGCTGATATTGCAATGGTTTAGTTTTGTGTAACCCTAAAGCTTAACTCCAAAGATGAGGACTATCTGTGACCCAGGCCGTATTTTATTTGGTGTTTCTTCTTCAGGTTTTTGCTCCAGCAGCCAAACAGATCGATGTGTACCGCAGTGTGGTCTGCCCCATCCTGGACGAGGTCATTATGGGTTATAACTGCACTGTGTTTGCGTAAGTAGCCTTTTTACATAATTTTTCCAGTTTGAAAATATAGTGCTTAAATTCTTTATGTCTCCAGATATGGTCAGACAGGTACAGGAAAGACCTTCACTATGGAGGGGGATCGGAGCCCTGATGGACAGTTTACCTGGGAAGAGGTACATAACAATTTCTGAATTTGTTCCAATGGATAAACATTGAATATCTTTTAAAAATAAATGCAGGCTTATCTGAATGTGCATTATTGGTTTTGGAAATGCAACTTTTTAAATAGTGTTTCTAGAACCAGCTTATTTCTAAATGATTTTTGTTTGGATCTATGGTTGAACAATAAGATGAGATGGTAATAGTCAGTCATGGACAACATGTTTTTGTATGTGTTTTGGTGATTCTTGGTTAGGATGCCTTAAGGTAGGGCTGCAAGTTTAATCACAATCAAATGGAAATTGCAATATGAATGGACTCTATTGCCATGATAGTACCATGATTTCCTCCACAAACAACAAAATCTTATCCTGCATAAAAACTGCTAACCCTGTAGTTTAGATCTGTACAAACATGCTCTGAAATGTGATTCTTGTATTTAGTTTCAGTTCATTCATTTTTTTTTTTTTTTTTAACTTGTTTTAAAAAATTTACTTTGAACAGAATCCTATTTTTAAAATGTTAATCTAGAATCTAATCGCAATCACAATGCTTGTCAGAAAATCGCAATTGGATATTTTTCCCAAATCGTTCAGCCGTACCATAGTGTCATATTTGAGTGTTCTAAAGGACAGTAGGCAAAGACGATCCTGAACTTAGTTTCTAGTACAGTAATCTTGTGAACATTTAAAATGGTTACAATAGGAGCCATAATCTTTATGTAACCGGTTGCTATGTGGCGGGGGTCACGTGGGCAAGGGTGTTGGTAGTTTCAAAGGCACTGGCTTCCTGCTGGGAGGGGAAAGGGGACACTGGGTAGCTGTATTTTTTTGTTGGCTGCTTTGTTTTGCTTTGTTACCATGCTATTGTAGGCCTACATGATTCCATCAAAGTGTGTGTGTAACCTGCATGATTTAAACTGTTTTAAATCACTAAACTGCGTTATGCAACTGTCTGACCCGCTACCGTTAGCAGAAAAACAGACAGAGGTTCTTATCACTGTTTTTAGCTTATTGGCTTAACTCCTTTAATATTTTCTGGTTTTCCTCAGGATCCTTTGGCCGGCATCATCCCCAGAACGCTGCACCAGATCTTTGAGAAGCTCTCAGAGAACGGCACAGAGTTTTCAGTGAAAGTTTCTCTGCTGGAGATTTACAACGAAGAGCTGTTTGACCTGCTCAGCCCCGGAGATGACGTGAACGAGAGACTACAGCTCTTTGACGACCCACGCAACAAGGTATGGACCACCACTTTATACTGTATGTAGGGATGTAGGCAACTAAAGGAATTATAAGACTTAAAACATGTGTCTTGAGTCCATTAAAGGTGCACTGTGTAACATGCATGTAGCCATAAAGCCATAATTTTATTACACTTCAGTATATTAATTAATGCTTTTAAACCTACCAATAGGGCATCATTTTAGCATTTTACTTACTTTCAAACATTTTCAAAACTGTACAAGATGGATTGTTGTGAGTTTGAAACCTCAAACCTTGCAACAACAAGCCATTGTGGGCTAAAAAGTGTAATACTTTATATGTATATTTCCAAGGCAATAAAACCATCTATATTAATGCAAAGAACGCCTCTCTGTGTCTCCTCCTGTCTGTTTCCTACATAAATAATAAATAATAATAAATGATATATGGAAAGATTTATTGCCATACTGTGGGAAATTCCAAGCAAAACACCAACATTTACTTGGGGTGGACTGTCCATCTGAAAACTTACATGGTGCATTACATCTAATATGAATATAGTTGCTGTAAAATCTCTAAAGCAATATTTTAAAAAATCTGTACTAAAGGTTGAGCATCCTTGTTACAGCTCTCTAAAAAAAAATTGCAAAGTAATTTAATTGTCTTTATGCTTTTGTAACTCAAGCGCGGCGTGGTGGTCAAGGGTCTGGAGGAGATCACGGTTCACAATAAAGATGAGGTTTATCACATTCTGGAGAGAGGAGCAGCCAAGAGGAAGACTGCCTCCACACTCATGAACGCATACTCCAGGTAACTCCTGCTCAAAATCACAATATCCAATGCCCTCTGCCAACTCCTTGTGTATATGATTTGAGCATAGTTGACTTTTGTATTGTATTTTGTTGTCCTTTAGTCGTTCCCATTCAGTGTTTTCTGTCACCATCCACATGAAGGAGATCACGTTAGATGGAGAGGAACTGGTGAAGATTGGCAAACTCAATCTGGTAAGTGCAGGTTTTTACTTATGACAAGTTTTGCTAAGAAAGTATATTTGACTAAATCATTTGATTTAATTTTGAAAAAACTTGAAAAATAACCAAACCTAGCATGTTTTTATATTTGCATTTACTGTCAATAAATTGTGATTCAGGTCTAATTAATATAAGAAGAACTAAAAACCTATGGCAATTTTAGAAGCAAAATAGTAAAATTATTTCTATTGAATTAAATGTTAAGTGCTTTTTTTTTTTTTTTTTTTAATCAATTCTTTACTTGTATAGCACATTTAAAACAACTTCAACTTCACATAAAAGCCAACAAACAGAAGAAACGGATATACAAATGGCACAATACATGTGAAAACTACAATAACACACCAAGATATCCTATCTAGTACTAAATGCCAAAGAGAAGAGGTGAGTTTTCAGTCTAGTTTTAAACTGCGTTACAGACTGAGAGGATCTGACAGGAAGATTGAGGCTGTTCCACAGTCTGGGCGCTGCCACAAAAAGGCACTCTCACCTCTCGTCTTGAGCCTAGTTTTGGGCACAGCAGCAGGAGCTGGTCAGCAGACCTCAGGACTCTGGGTTGAGTAAAGGGCTGCAATAACTCAATAACATTTAAAACAATCGACAATCTTTTGAATTGCACCTGATATAAGATGGGGATCTCAGGCTGTTTATTTCACATAATCTAGTTTTATGAAATTAAGCATTCAGATTAGAAATATATGAACTCAGGAGTATAGTAGAACATTCTGGGCACTACGTACAAATCATCTTCTTGGGCCTGTACTACATGTTGTCTGTATAAAAATTACATATTACACGCCCAGTCCGACACTCCTGTATTCACTCTCTGGCCATAGTGTCAATAAGTGTTTGTTTTAATTGTCTCAAGGTGGATCTGGCCGGCAGTGAGAATATTGGGCGTTCTGGAGCAGTGGACAAACGTGCTCGAGAGGCTGGAAACATAAACCAGTCTCTGCTCACTCTGGGCAGAGTCATCACTGCTCTGGTGGAGAAGAGGCCGCACATTCCATACAGGTACAGACAGCCAGAGTGTTGCAGTCATGTAGTTGTCAGGAGACTGTGAAAAGCTAAATACTCTTTTTATGAGAAAATATCCCATTTACATTTTTGGTTAATGAAGAGTACATGAAATGACAAATCAGTGGGCTATTGCTTTACAATTGTTCATATTTAAATTACAATAATGATTAATGCTCTAATTGATTGCAAAAATAGTCTGAGATGAACTTTTTGGTATATTTTAATGTGCAATTACTCAAAGTTGCTCAGAGATTGGACTTTTCTTATGAACTAAAATACTTTTAAAGCGTCCTATTTCTGTGAGGAGCGTCACCTACTTCTGTTTCTACCATCTGTTTATCTCTCTTGGGCACACTGATGTCCTTCCTTCAAATAATCTTTTGAATAATTGTGATTTCAGGTATTATTCATAACTGAGCAGCCCTGCAACAAGCTTTCCACTGCTATAATAAAGCTTTGAACTGTTTTAGTTTTAAGACCTTAAAAGGAAACTGTTAAAGTATGTTTGTCTTTTGCCAGAGAGTCTAAACTGACCAGGATTCTACAAGATTCTCTGGGAGGTCGAACAAAGACCTCCATCATTGCCACTGTCTCTCCCTCTTCAAGCAACCTGGAGGTGTGTGCTTCTAAAAACATGCTCTGCTTTGTGGTTTTTGCATTAGAAAAATAAAATAACAGATGAATGCTCATGTCCCATGTAGGAAACTCTGAGCACACTGGAGTACGCCAGCAGAGCCAAGAACATCATGAACAAACCTGAGGTCAACCAGAAACTCACCAAGAGGACTCTCATCAAGGTACACCTGATACCTGCTCACGCTTTCACCATTTTAATTAAAAAATTTATACCGTATTTTAAGTTTTTAAAGGTGCTGTGTGTAACTTTTCTAGTCAGGGGTCATGTCATTTGCTTGTCTCCATGGAGAAGTTATTCATTCTGCTTGTGATGTTCCACAGCATGTCTTTACATGCATCTATCTTGTATTTATTCTATTACAGCTGTTTACTTCAGTTATTGTTAAATCCATACCAATCTGACCTGTAACTTGGCCTGGTAGCATCAACTGGTAGCTTGTTAGATTTGATTAATGCCATTCTCTGGAACATTTTTGGCAAAGCAATAACTTCTCCGGAAACAATCAGGTGTCGGACCCTTTGCCTCAAAAGTTGCATGTGTCCCTTTTTAAAGTATAACAGTTTCTACTAGTAGTACTTGCTTTACTTGGGTAACTTTTTGAAGAAACTGTACTTTTCATAGTACTTTTTCTGTCAACTTAATTTTGGCTAATTCAGCTTTTATTTTTATTTAAGTTATAGTACTTTTGAGTAAAAGTTGTGGTTCCTCTTTCCGCTGTGAGTAAGTCTACAAATGACAAAAGCTTTATGTTAATATGAAATTACTTGAACCTTTGTGTTTCTTGTATTGCAAACACCAGATTTTGTGCATTATTTAATGTTTTTTCCTTTTAGATTACATTAACTTAAAATTATAAGTCAGATATCACTTCCCAACATTTGCTCTTTAAGTTATTTAATTTTTGCTCTTGTTATTTTTACTTGAGTAGTTGTTTCCCCAAATGTTTTTACTTTGAACAATGTCTTGGAGCACTACTTTATACATCTACTTTATTGATCTCACAAGTGAAATTATTTAGGTGGGTAGAGTAGCTAAAAATTGTACTGAAGACTCATGTTACTTTAAAATATTACTAAAGTTTGTAGTCTGCTAAATCGATTGCTAAGATGCTGTTCTCTCGTTTCTATAGGAGTACACAGAGGAGATCGAGAGGCTGAAGAGAGACCTGGCAGCCACTCGGGACAAGAACGGGGTTTACCTGTCCTCTGAGAACTACGAGTAGGTCACATGACTTCACTTCACTGTGATTAAAGCAGGTTCATAAAAGGTCAAAGGTTAAGAATACGATCTTTCTAGGAGCATGTTGGGTCAGATCAGCTCTCACGAGGAGCAGATCACAGAGTACACGGACAAGATCGCCGCCATGGAGGAGGAGATCAAGAAGGTGGGTTACATTTGTGTGTTAATGATGAAGTGTGAGCATGTACAGTATGTGAATGCTGTGATTTAAGAGAAGACCTTTATTTGTCCCACAATTAATTGATTTGATTTGTTTTTATTTCCATTTCGAGTTTGTGCCAAGAGAGAAAAAATAGTCATATATACTAAAAGGGCTTTGGGTATCTTGAAAGGCGCTATATAAATGCAATCAATCAATCAATCAATATACTACATACGCATTGTAAACAGAAAAGCACATTTCTCGAAAAGGAGTGGGAAGAAGAAAAACATAAGAACCCACCCCTGTTCATGACATAGTTTCAAAAATGATGTGGTTACTTCTGTACGCTGATCACAGAACTTGGCAAATATTTACATATAGCAAAGTAAATTACATATTATGCATACAAAATATAATTTTAAACTATGGCCCAGTATTGCCCAGTACCTTACAATACAATATTTATCCCTAATCTGTTCATTACTTAGTACTGTTTTGATTATGTAGAGTTGCAAAATACAATGTGATTTCATGTTTTCAATGCCATTAAAGGTGCAATATTAAGCAGAATTGACTCTTGTAAGCACAAAACCATGTTTTAATATTGTTGCCTTCTCAAAAACAGACCTGGAGTTGTTTTGTTTCATTCACACATGTTTGAGTAACTCTTTATCTCAGTCTCAAAATGCTCTGTTGCACCTTCTGATGTCATGAGTCTGTAGTTTTTCATTAGAGATTGACAATTCCAGGGCTGAAATTATCCAAATGATTCTAGTGCTTTCTGTTTGAGAGAAGAACGTAAAATGCAGCTTTTGTGTGTTAAATGTGTGAGAATGAAACAAAACAACACTCCAGCCTTGTTTGTGATGAGGAAACTAGATTATAACATGGCTTAAATCTTACGAGAGTCCATTTCACATAATATAGGACCTTTTAAAATAAGCCACTCTTTTCTGTACAGATCACAGAGCTGTTTGTGGACAGTAAAACCAGACTGGAGCAGTGCACAGTGGACCTGGATGAGAAGCAGCAGAGGTACAGGAGCCTTCTTTAAACTATAGGACCATAACTTCTGTGTAAGTCTGAGTATAGAAGAACACTGTTTTTGTGTCTGTCAGGCTGGAGGAGACGAGCAGACACCTGGAGCAGACCAAAGAGAAGCTGTCTAAGGAGGAGTTTGTGTGTTCGGAGCTCACTGTGGCTCACGAGTCCCTCTACAACACGGCCGGACAGGTACTCACTGTTTATAATAGGGCTGCAAAGTATAATATACTAATTGTGACTAATTGACTATAAAAATGATCGTAGTTTGACAATTCATCACAATATATTATAAAAAACATAAATGGTTATTATCAATTCTAAATAAGTAGCAAAAATAACAAGAGACTGGTGTCAAATAAGGCAATATGTACAAATAATAGGAAATAACATAAAAATATATCTCGGCTATATACAAGAGGTTGAAAGGAAAAACGGTACAAAAATATGTGACACGGCATAGGGGTGGTCTGTTGCATAAGACTGAGTTGTACAGTTGTAGGGAGTATCGTATGAATGTAGTCATGTATCTCTATAGTTGTATTTTTGATCATCGTGATTGTGAAAGGATAAATATTTAAGTTAATTTGCATAAATTAAGGTTTGTATGCAACTGTGCTTTACTTCTTTTTAAGAGAAGTTTTAAATCCCATATATTCCTGATAATTCCTTGGCAAAATTTCCAGCTTTGAAGGTTGCAAAGTTTCAGTAATTTTACCATATTTACACCTTTTTATTTGGTTGAGACTTTTTTAATACATTACCAGTGTACAATGGACATAACTGATGAATTTAAATAGCCACATTGTAGAAGAAATTGGAATAATATAATAATAATGAGTATATTCTCCCACAGTATGCCTTTAGTTGTACACTATAAATCAGGGTTTTAGAAGACAACCAATGTATAATAAGGTTTTACTGCCATACAAATGCTTTAGCTATATTCATTTTTCTAAATTTGTAATATTTCTGTCAGGTACATGTAAAAATCTGCTATATTTATACATTTATACAATTTTCATCATTGTAAAAGCGATCACCAAGAACAGTTTCACTTCATGAGAACTTAAAGATGCATTGTGCTCACAATCAGAATACCTGTTTTTCTACTTATTTTTGAGCTGTAAATCCACTGTAAATCCACTTCTAATTGAATAAATGTAAAGTAGTGTGGGACATTCAAGGCAGAGCAATGACATCTCCGTGGAAAACTTGCAACAAGCAGGTAGCGGGACTTCCATCATAAAAGTTGGAGTATCGTTAAGCTTTTTTATTTTTATCTTAACATCATTTTGAAGGCAAAGGGGACTTCTTCCTTTCCTTCCCTTTTTTGTGGTAGGTTTCTCGCTAGGTTTTTTTGTTTTGTTTTTTAACTTCTGACTGTTAATTTTCTTCTAAAAACATAATTTCTCTTGTATAATGTGACTTGGCTTTGTTTTTCCTCAGTTGCTAAACACTGTTGACGCCAGCACCAGTGATGTCTCAGGGCTGCACGACAAACTGGACCGGAAGAAAAAGGTAGAGTGATACTGTGTATATGCCGCAAATGCAAATGGGATCACAATAAACGATAAAAATACTATAACAAGACCCCTAAAATACACATAGAAGTGACTCAGAACCACTGTTATTGTGTTAAGTGGCAAAATGTCCAGTCACTTACATTTTTGAGAAGTTTTGGAACCAATTGCCTGCGATCCAAAAGACACACTTCTCCAATACTTTACGAAGATGTGAGCCTGGTGACTGTTGAATCTCCTGAGTTCAGATGGGGATGATTGACAGATGGATTAGCCAATCAGGGACACGCATGGTCTGTCCGAATGATGTATGATAGGGGACTGAAAAACATGGCAGGTTTGTGTAGAATCAATAAGTGTACAAGTACTAAACTCTGTTCATCTGAGGGGAGAGAAATGTCATTTTATTTGTAAATGACAGGTGATCAATGAGCTCATTTGTTTCACATGTGTCCCTGAAATAAGCTAATCTGATTGGGCGGCTGTGTTTGGTTCTGACTCAAGACGTCAGACTTGGACTGATATTCCTGTGCGTAAAAAATAGTGATGCCAGTTTGGATTTGTCAGGCAAGAGAACCACTGAAGTAGAAATATGGTAGAACAACAGTTATTTGCCACTTTGTTTTTTCCATTCCATTGCCGTGCCCATTTCCAGAACATGAAAGACATGTTAATAGACTAAATGTAATATTAGTATTGTCAAAATAAGAACATGAAAGCAGCTGGTTTAAATAGATTTCCAGTTTCGGCACATCACTAGCACTGAAACTGGCCTTTTAACACTAGAGGGCGGGTTATGCTAAAATGTCATGGGTGGAGGGCCTCAGATATTTTGCAGTTGGTATCAGTAGTCGCCTCTCTACAGCCTGATTAGGACAAGCCTTGATGGACTTAACAAAACGTATACAAACATTTAAAATAACTATTACAATTCAAGTCTTGTAAAAGGGAACTCCCAAGAGACTAATTTCTTACAGAAGGGGCCGCGGCTTGAAAATGACTGTAGTATTGTAACCACATGTGTACGTGTTGATCTCAGGTGGAGCAGCACAACCAGCAGATCCAGCAGAGTTTTGCCAAGAGGATGGAGGGCGCCTTCAGCCAGCTCCAGCAGAGTGTGCAGCAGCAGGGCTCTAAGCACCAGGACATGCTCAGCAGCTACTCCCAGGCCATCGGTACGTACTTTTATTTGATGAATTTTACAGAAAAGACTGGGTTATTAATGGGTTGGTCTGTATTGTGAGATTTAATGCACTGATCAAGAGCCTCTGAACATTCTCTAATGCTCTAATGCTGTTCTCAAAAACATACCTGGAGTTGTTTTGTTTCATTCACATGTTTGAGTAAGCCTCTATTATTAGTCAGTCTACATCTCCAAAGCTCAAAATGCTCTGTTCTCTCTGTAGTTTTCAAGTTAACCGCCACCTTTGTACATTTTAGCTCAGTAGAGATTCGGAATTCCAGGGCTGAAATTATCCAAATGATTCTTGTGAAGGTGTTTGGAGTTTAGAAACACATTGGAGCACTTCCTGTATGATTTTTGAACATTTTCAGTTTGAGAGAAGAACTAAATATGCATGATTTATGTGTTAAATATGTGTGAATGAAACAAAACACCACTCCAGGTATGTTTGTGATGAGGAAACATTATAACATATTTCAGAAAATCGTGTAATACGGAACCTTTTAAAACATGAACTTTGAACAGAATCCTTTTATTAAAACTTACCGCAGAGCTAATGTCAAATCTACTTACGATGCTTGTCTGAAAAATAACAATTGGATATCTCTACCAAATTGTTCTGCTCTAAACCTGAGTACCTACACATGGGGAACATAGTGCTTCATGACCCGGTGAGTGAACCGTCCTTTTCTTTGTGTCTTCAGACGGTGTGGTGCAGATGAATGAGGCAGCTCTCCACAGCTCTCTGTCCACAGTGGAGAAGTTTGTGAGTGGAGTGGGCTCTGCGGTGTCTGAGGGAGTGAACCGCTGCAGAGACAGACTGAAGGAGCAGGAGAGTCTGAGCGCACGAGACAGGGACGGCCTCCTGCAGCTGCTGGTGAGACTATGGGGTTACAGTGGAGCTATTTTAGGAGATGAACCCAGTAACTCATAATGACACACAGTTATATTACTTTTAAATTTACATTAAACCAATATATATTTTGACAGTCCAATTTGTTTTTGTTGCAAATATGAATTCAGTTTTGTGGTCCAAATAGCCAGATATGTGTTCAAAATTTATCAGTGTAAAGGAATGGGATTGGCCTCTGTGCACAAAGCGAGTTGTTTGTGCCACTGTGTCACTGATGGCATGATAAAGACTAAACAAATGTGAATACTTTTCCTTTGAAGTTTTTTGTCTCAACATTAATGCTAATCCTAATTTTGAGACATCATATTAAAACGCTACAAATTGAAGTAATCTAAAAACAATCAAAAACTCTTAACGGCTTGTTTATTTAATATTTCACGCTTGTAAGTCCACATCAGCTTTGAGACTATGGGCTAGCTAGTGTCCTTCTGTGCCCAGAGCCTGTTGCAGAATGATTTGATAAACTATTGTAAATTAAACAGTTTATTTTGCCTTTATATCCTGATTGAAATGGTGTTTGTGTGTGTGTGCAGGAGGAGCATCAGCAGGACATGGAGGAGGCCCTGGTCACACGCTCGCTGTTGAGTCTGGGTGCTGTGAAGGAGCTGGGAGACACTCTGCGGAAAACTGTGGAGGCACAGAGGGCTCTGGCCGACAAGGTCTCACCACAAATACTCTTCTACTGTCTTTCCTTCACCCACACACTCCACACTAAGCTATTATTGTAGCCACCGCTGCCCTGGGACATACTGACAGAGCGACAGAGGCACTGCTGACAATCTGCGCCTTCTGCCCCTCTGACCACCACCCACCCTCACACACCATTTTCGTACTAGGCATTGTGAGTGAGGTGCTTTGCCTAAGGACACGACAAAACTTAGTCTGTGCATCAATCCGCAGACCTTCTTGGTTGTTGTGGGGCCACTCCTCTAACCACTGACCCACTGTCCTCATTTTCTTAACATCTCTTGATAAACTAATTGAAATAGTAGGTAATTGCTAGTAAACATCCAGTGCCAAAAATAATAAACATGCAAAATAACCAAGTATATCACTTTATATTTAATCAATATCACATCTGTGCATTAAAGTGCATATGGCTTTTCATGTTTGTCTTTTCTAACATGATTTGGTGTTATAGTTAACCTTGCACATTTCACAAACTGGTGAGAATCCATCTTGGCATGTGTCGCTGTATTGTGAATTGAGAGGGGGACCAATCACCAATCACAGAGCGGCAGAAGCCAAAGAGTTGTGACGCTTTAACCAATCAGATTCAAATGGTCGTCATGAGGCACAAAGTACAAAAATATAGAAAGTAACGTTGAGTTCTAAGATAGAATACCTCTCATGTCATCAACACTATGAAATCCAAAATGCAGGGACAATTTGCACAGAAGGTATTTTGAAGGCAGTTACAAAATTATGCATGTCATAGCTGCTGCCTGTGTCGAACCTGTATTTTGCAGAATAATTGCAGACTTCACCCAAATGAAAGACAAACTAGGCACGATTTTATGTTTTATACAGTTGTTTTTCTGTCCCATTGCAGGTGGAAGCCATGAAGGAGATGGGCGTGTTCTTCAGCGCTCTGGTTGGAGACCTGTCAAAGCTGAGGGAGAGCACAGTGCAGGGTCTGAGCAGTCTGCAAGAGGACCACCATAAACTGGAGCAGAAGATCGCACAGGCCCAGGAGCGGCACCAGACGGTAAGGGGCTGAGTAACCGGTTAGTCTCTACACAAAATGTATAAATAAAAGGAACTACTTCTGTTTAACTTTAAAGCCGCTGTACCTTTTATAGTTGGCACAGTGAATAGTAAGTCATTATTATTATCATTGCTGAGTTTTTCCATCTTTGTAAAGTGAATGACCACTAGCATGCTAACCTCACACTACAATAAAATCTTTCTAATTAGATGCAGATATTACACAGCTCTTGCCCTAGTACAGATGTAATGTTTAAGCAGCTTTTGAGGTCAACTTGGCCAGACACGTTTCTCTCAGACACATGGGGCCTTTTAATGCTTTTATTTTCTAGAAAGTTGTGGTCATTCTTATCTGGCTTCTAGTTGGTTTCTTTATTTTTATTTTTATGCTTTCCTTTATCAGGCAAAAGGTTTAGAACGTATCATTATACACAATGTTCGATCAATCAATCAAACTTTATTAGAGAGCTTTTCATACAAAAATTCAACATGAAGCACTGTTGGCTTGTGTGTGCTTAAGGGGAAGGGAGTGAACAAATAAATGTTTTAATATTTATTACATTTATAGTAATTGTATATATTTAATGAAATTATTCTAATGAGAATCATCTGTCAGAGCATTTTAAGAGACTCTTAAAAATACTGTGTTTCTGCAGAGTATGAGACAGACCATCCAGTGCCTGCAGGACCAGCTGAACCTCCTGAGTCTGGAGACGGAGAAGGACCTGAGCCAGCTCTGCTCTGCCTCCAGAGATCTGCACAAACCTCTGCAGAGTCTACAAGACAACGTCAACAGGTCAGGGAACATACCACCTGGTCTCTGCTGGGGAATATGGTGTCATACTTGGGACATAACATTAAAATGGTCACAAATGGGAAGTCTGAGTTAAAGTCCTGTATGAGGTACTTGTGGTTTGGATTTTATGTTGATGTAAGTCATGAGTTTCGTTGTGCACGTTGGAAGTTGATTCTTTTTATAAAGTCGAGAAAAATTTCAACCTATTTGCTAAATTGAACTAAAACTTTAATGGAGATTGTTCAGTGTCTGATTTAAAATTGTAACCTCCTGATGATGCTGTAACATCTCTCTCCGTGTGCAGTGGATGCAGGTCAGCGGAGCAGCAGGTGAGCTCCCAGGCAGAGCTCCTCTCCTCCACCTCCTCCTCTTTGGCCTCCTCGCTCAGACACAACGCAGACGAGAAGCACCACACGCTGGAGGAGATGATGGCCAGCTGCGCCCATATCCACACCTCCGTCTCAGGTAAGAAAAACAGAATGAGTGCACAAATCTGACATTTTCTTATTTACAGTGATACGTTGATTTTAAAGATTCAAATAAAAGTTCAGCAAGAAGGTTTTGGGTTGGATTCCCGAGTCACACAGGCCTTTGTGTGTAGAGTTTGCATGGGAAACTCACCCACGTCAACCCATGTTGATGTGGGTGAGTTTCCCACATCAACCCAAAACATGCACAAAGGTCATATTCTCCAGCTGAGGTAGTCCTGACAGAGACTATCCCAAGATCTGGAGATGTGTCCCTGGATACAGCACCGCTGCGCCCACTACTCCTGATTAGGTGCCCTCAGTGGCATGGAAGGGATGGGTCAAATGCAAAGGCACTTTATTGTCCATGTAAGGTACCTTAACCATATTGTCCATGTGTCTTGGGCAGGTCTGGTCGAGAGGGACCTCCTATGGTCCTCCAAAACAAAGGAACACGCTGAGAGTAAAGCCCAGGAACAGCTCACTCTTGTGGGCAATGTTTCTACAGAAGTCCTGAGTCTACAGCAGGTAAAATATTTTCATTATATTTGATTTAATACAATGAAGTTAAGTATGAGAAGGTATAATTCAGTGTATATATTTTATATTTTAGTGTGTATAAAAATGTAAATTTCAATCAAAAGATTAACTAAAATTTCATATATTTTTATTATTTTTGTTAATTGCAGTAATCAGATTATGCAGTATTTCCAATCCAAAAAAAATATGCCAAAACAAAAAATTGTAACTTGAGGTTCAAGAATTACACAAAAAAATTATCCATGTTCATTTCACAGTTCATGTGCCCATTTGAGAGATTACACTCCACGCTCTTATCTATTCACAGCAACCATGTTTTCAGATCTCCTTCCTCTACATTGAACCACACATCTTATTGTTGTGCTTGTTTTCTACATTCTGTTATCTGAAACTCATGTTGTAGTAGTATTTATTTTGGGTTCAGTCACAAATAGAAATGATCAGGTTTAACATTTGTGAATCTACATTTTAGATATGAGAATACTATAAAATCTATAGGGAAAACTGCCTCCCACCCATTAAAATATTCCCTTTCCTGACACCCCCAGCCTTGGTCATCATGTTCTTTCTCTCTGACAGACCGTGGAGAGCCTGTGTTCAGACCTGCGTGGTTCCACAGCAGACCAGCTCTCCGCTCACACGCAGCAGGTGAACAGCTCTCTTCAGACCCTCCAGAAGCAGACATCCCAGGACCATGAGGCCGTGGGGCTGCAGCAGACGGAGCTCCTCCAGAGCGTGGAGACCAGTGAGAGGCTGGTCAGGGGCTTCCTACAGGAGGAGCTGCAGCAAGACGTCCCCACGGGTGAGACTTTCAGTTCTGTTTAAACCTAACTGGATAATAAGTAAAATTTGTCAGGCCCCGCTACAGCTATTTGTCAAAACAGTGGTTAGCATCCTAGTCGTTGTTAGGAGTAGCATGATGGAAAAACTCTGCGTTTTCCCAACTTTCAGGAAGCCAGTGCAAAAGCACATTTTTCACAACAAACATTTAGGAAGCTGCTTTAGGTAAGTTGGGTTGGGTTCAGTGCTTTTAACTCAGGGTCTTAAATGTTTTAACATAATTTTTTTTCATTGCATATTCTGTATTCCCAACTGGCAACCCATCAAACCAACCTCTTGTGCAACTCTCTGCTCAAGTGAGTGCAAAAGAGTGCAGTCTTATACACGATTTGGACAAACTTTGACCATTTCTGAATAGTTTTTAATGACCTTGATCTATCAGAATGACTGAAAGTTTCATTACTGTCTAAAGAAGCTTTTTATTATAACAATTCTATATAAATCTGTATGAACTTAGATTAGACAATCATTATTGGTCCACAAGGGAAATTATTTGGGCACAGTAGCTCACACATCGCAATATAATAACAAAGAAAACAAATATAAAATGGAGCAATACACAAGAAGTCGTAACAGTGCAAAGATACGATGATTGACAGGATATAGGGTTATGTTACATAAGGCTGAGTTGTTGCAGAGTTGTAGTGTAGTGGAGTATGTAGACCTGTATCTCTCACCGTTTGAGCGGAGCTGTAGGAGCCTGTATGAGAATGAGCTCCTCTGTCCCCCTATAGCATTTTTGTTTTGAACGGCAGTCGGAGATTTCCCATCCCCCTCTAAAGCATAGTCCTCCTCTCACGTTTTAATTCTGGTTCTGGTCCCTTCCCAGGTTCCACTCCCCAGCGGCGGGACTTCGTTTACCCTCGTCAGCTGGTGAAGGGGCGGAGTCGCTCTGAGCTGCTGGAGAGTCTGAGGAGGGAGCAGGAGGCGCTGAAGATCGCTCTGGAGGAGGAGGAAGAGGAAGAAGAGGAGGAAGAGACTCAGGTCGACCAGGTAAAGGCACAAGGGCTGATCTATGTAATCTATGTCCTCATCACAAACGTACCCGGAGTTGTTTTGTTTTATACACACAAACCCTGCATGTTTAGTTCTTCTCTCAAACTGAAAACATTCTTCCACCTTGTGATGTCATGTGGTAACATAGGAAGTGCTCTGCTGTGTTTTTAAACACGATACACCTTCACTAGAATCATTTGGTGATTTCAGCTCTGATATTGCCAATCTCTGTTGAACTAAAGGTAAAATTTAGCTGTTAACTTAAACTAGGTAGCAACATTCTAACATAACTTAAAGCTCACAAGACTCAATTTCGAATAAATAAGACCTTTTAATGCGAATATTTTAAGACCATAATGACGTGTGTTTTCAGGACTCTCTGGAGGATGAGCCCAGCACGTGTAATGAAAGCCTGGCCACTGAGCCGTCCTTCATCGATGAGAACCTCGTCTTCAATGAGAGCAAACGGGTCCCATTCTTTAAGGTAAAAACCATGACACCATTGTTAAAGACCTAACGCTTACTTCTTGTTCTAAGTACCATATTTTCCAGACTATTGAGCGCACCTGAATATAAGCCGCAGGTGTCCACATCTTTAGGAATGTTATCGAGTTCGGTCCGTCTGCTTTTTTCGCCTCTGAAAGCTTTTGTCGTCTTTTTATGTTGAGTCAGTTCGTCACACTGCCATCGCCAAAATCTCCCCATGGACTCATTGATGCAGAGCTCACGTGCAGCACTGTTTTCTTCTTCCACAGCCACATCAATTCCCTTAATTTAAAAGCTGCATCATCTGCATTTCTTCGTGTGTTTTCCATAAGGAGGGTGTGTGTATGAAGTGCAAAGTACCTGTTCAAAACACAATCAAACGAGCATCTTCTTCGACGCATTGCTTGAAATGAAGCCTCGAAATACTGACCTGCAGTAAACTTAATATTATTTGCTATACATTAATGGGACTGTATTTCATAAACATCAAATCAAATAGAGCTTTTCATGATAACAATTATAATTTACATTTATTATGAATTACAAAACAACTGCCATAATAATCAATTTATTTGTTATAATTTGGTATTTTGGTTCTCATTATAATTCCATTCCATTATAATTCCATTCCATTCCAAAGCAGAATGAGCCTCACATGAATCTCATTTGCGTTGCCAGTTTCAAGGCTGAAATCCAGTTGGTTTAAACTTGAAAAATGACTCTGATCTGAATTGTCCCTACCTAAATCTACCAGTGTGTATAAACTTTTTTTAAATAAAGACTATAAAGCTTTGTCTAAATGTTTTTTAACAATTTAGGATCATGGCATTTTGAAATTTCACACAAACCCCGCCTCGGTGCACGTGACTTCCTTACTCAACCTCCTTCATTTTGAGGTTTCATTTGGCAGGACCACTTTAGCCGTGTGTTTTATAGTCGAAAATGGCAACTAGGGTTGGTACAAGATCTTTTGCCGCAAGATCCCGTGAGACAAAATTATCACAAGATTGTGCACACATGAGAAAAACTATCTTGTGAGATTTTTTTGGGTTTTTGTTACATCTGGATTGGACAAAAAAGTGTTAAGTTTTGGTGAGTTACATCTCTAGTATGAACCAAAACAGGAAACTGAACTATGAAATTGATATATTAGGAATTATGTTAAGATCTCATCTTGTGTCATTCTCGTGGACCCAATCTTGGATCTTGTCTTGTGAAAAATGTGTCTCGTCCCATCCCTAATGGCTACGCAACATTTTTTATGGCTCGGAGTGTAAAATTTTCATATTTTTACACTGACTACTCAAACCTCAAATGAGCAAAACAAAATAATTTAAAAAGGCAGGAATCAAAATACAACTTCAAGTAATGTCATGATGATCTTACAACATGTTTCTAAAAGTCTGTTGTCCACTTTAAATGTTAAATGTTTAGTAATGTCACTTTTTAATTTGTTTCAGAAAAAGAAAGGCAGTCGAAAAGAGTCAAAGATCCCCTCCCGGCCCAAAGCAGCAGAGAGCGAGTCCTACACCACTCCACAAAAGTCCAGACTACCACTGCGCTCTCAGAACTAACTTTCCCTCCAGGGATTTTAAAGTGTTTTTTCCATGTTTAGTTTTGTGTCTTTAAATATTTGTATGAATGTTAGAATGCCGATGAGCTGCCATCTGTTTTAAAACTGTAACTGTTTGTCCTTTTTAAAATTAAGAGTTTTATACTTAAAGGTGAATAAATATGTGCTTATCCTGTCTCACCTGTGTAATGTGTGGTTAAACAAAGTATGAAAATTAGTCCCCAGTTTTGTTTTTGACTTGTTTATAAATGGCACTTTTCTGACGAAGGATCTGTCGTCATCTAAACCAGAATGTTCCGCAGTATTCTTTCTCCATGGACACGGCAGGCGACTCTACCAGTGATCTCCCCAAAACACAGTAAGGATGCATTTTGTTCAAAGGAAACAGCTGAATCATTTTTTTTCTCTAGCTGTTTGTATTTGTTTACTTTAGATCAAATTAAACTATTACAATTACATTACTATTACAAACAGCTTTGACCAGAATGTTCCACACTATTCTGTCTCCATGGAAGTGATGTCTCTACCAGGTCAAATCTGTGGAGATGTGCCCGTCCCCAGACACGGTAATATACATGATTTTGAGGTATATTTGAGCACATTTTAATTGTTGAAGGAAAGAAAGATGAGTTTAAAGCCACTGGAACATTTCAGGCAAAGCGCATCTTCATTGAGTAACCAGAACTGAGAAATGTTGCATAATGCACTTTTAATAACTTTCAACTTGATGCTATTGTAGTCAGTGTTTGGGAGTAACAGATTGCATGTACCGGAGTTACGTAATCAGAGTATAAATTACGAGTAACTGTATTCAGTTACTGTTTCAATGAGTGGTAATCGGATTACAGTTACTTTGTTGAAATAAATGAATTACATGGCAATGTTCTCCTGTTTTCACATTTTGGGCTATATCCCATTTTTAACTTTTTTAAAATTTTGCTAATCCCACTCATTGCTGAAAACCCAAACAGAACGTAGCAATAAGAGTTGCGTAAACATGTTAATGTTGGTGGCGTCAGCCACAAAATGGACGAGGTCGTTAATAATCGTTGTTGTTAATAATCGTTGTTGTTAATAATCGTTGTTAATAATCTGATTCTGCATCAGTTTGAGTAAAAAAACATGAAATATTAGTGATTTTTACTGGGCTGGCACCTTTATGTTTGTAATGAAAGTGATTTATATATTTATTTTTTAATGTAATAAACTATATGACACCTACTAGTGGGGTGGAGATCATTTAAACCAGCAGTGATCTCGTATAGAAATCATTTCTCTATCAATAATTTTTATACGGTTCAGGAAAAACTGGGCTTGTGAAGATTTCCTAGTCTTTGCTACTTTACAGTAAACAGTGGCTTATTCATGGAGACTTGGGCTCAACAGACAATTTGAAGAGAACAAACAAGAATTTTCAGGATGTGGTTGTTACATTCATGTAGTTTTAAAAAACATGACAATGTCAAGTAATCCAGAGTATTCAGATTACATTACTCACCTTAATTTAATGGATTACGTTACAAACTACATTTTGGGGTCTGTAATCTGCAAGGGAATACATTTTAAAAGTAACCTTCCCAGCACTGATTGTAGTAAAGCTAAAGTTTAACTGTAGAGACTACTCATTTTGCTTCATTGCGTCATTGCATCATTTCGACACCAGGGGGCATGTATGATCAGACCATGGACGGATCTTGACTCATGCGCAACAGTGAAAACTTTCGGTTTCGTTTCTTTGGACCATCAGTGGTGCCAGATTGGGCTACTTTCAGCAAGTTTGGGCGGTTTTTGTTTTCACACCAATCAACGCGATACGCAGTAACGCGAGGACGTGATGAAAACGCTGTTCTACTTTTTACCATAGGTTTTATATAACATGTTTTCTCAATCCTGAAGTTTATAAAATGCCAGTAGATTACGTTAGAACATGTTTATTCAAATATTAGGCGAAATTACCTTTTTTTCTGTGATAAATGAAAGTACTGTTTTACATTTGTCAGTTATAAGAAAACATGTTCATGTTTTTAAAAAGCCTACAGATTAAATAGATTTTTCTGAGATAAATTAAAATTATATTCTACATTTAACACGATTTTTTCAATACTGGCAATGTTTTATTAAAAAAAAAAAAAAAGACCATCAATGGATTACATACGTTTATTTACAGATTAAATGTTTTCTGTTTGAAAAATGTTGGGCGGTTTTTTGCTGAAGAGGGCGGGTTTTCGAATGTGATTGAGCGTAAATTACGAAACCCAATCTGGCAACAATCCGCAACACTCCTTTACGCACTGCGTGAGGACGGGTGTGGTTTTGCTGCGCTGCTGACATGAACCTTGACTGTTTTAAGTAGGGGTTACGGTCTTTTTCGGGAGAAATGGAGCATGTTTTTATTATTGCACTCATTTTTTTGTTCGGTCCCCCTTTCGGTTGGGCCAAAATTGAAGATCGATATTTTAAAGTTGGTACAAAGATCGAGGTGCGGCCTCCTGGGGACAGCGCTACGAGCTTCACCCGTATCCTGTGGAAGCACAACGAGAATTTGGTGGCAGAATGGGCCACGGGTGAGGAAGTGGAGTTCTATTCCACTTACAAAGGCCGTACGACATTAGACACGGCTACTGGTCTTTTGACGATCAGCTCCACGACGGAAAAAGACGCCGGAACGTATAAGGTGGAAATCAACGACAAGCTGCTTGACGACTCATACAATGTCGTAAGTATCCAGGACGTACCGGTGCCCCATGTGTGGTCAAAGCCTGGCATGGGGGACGACCAGCGGATATTGAGCTGCGAAGGGGACGTGTCTAAGGCCGGACCCGTGGATTACTACTGGAAGATCGGGATAGACGAAAACGGGCCCTGGATCAAGACCACAACCGACAAGTACACGCTGATTAAAAACGAGACGACGACGCGCATTCAATTCATTTACTGCAAAATGGTCAACCCTATCGGAGAGAAGGAAAGTTCTCCTGAGAATAACCCTTACTATGATCCGGGGCCCCCTGTTGGAGCCATAGTAGGGGGATCAATGGTGTTTCTGACTCTAATTGTAATCATTGTGGTCGTGGGAGTTCTACAACGGGAGAAACTCAAGACTCTTCTTTGTCCCGGTGGAGATCAGAGAGTTGAAAACGGTCCCGGCGCACCAGCTGAAAACGTTAATCTCAAAACCACAGAAGACGGTGCAGGTTGAGGGTCCCAGGATGTCATGTTTTGTGGATCAGGCTCCTCATCCCATCTTAAGTCTGTTACACGTGGTGTTTGAGGAGAGCGCTTCATAGGAGAGAACAAAATGACATTGCTCATGAATAGATGGATTATGTATAGGCACTTACCATTTGCACTGGATTTTACTGAGCCTTACCCCACTGCCCAGCCATGACGTTAAAATTAGTTCTGTTAAAATAATGTAATAATAATAACTGGCATGCACAGAGGATGTATATTACGGTGGTATTAAAACAAACCACTACCCTGTTTGAAAGTAGATTTTTAAACATGACTAAAACTCTTAAAAGATGTAGGCTATGTGACCATTGGTTCAAAGGACATTGTTCGCCTACACGATCAGCCACCTTTTAGAATTTCACATTAAATGATCCATTGTATGTGTGTGTATATTTGTTTGTATTTGTGCGACAGGTAACTGCTCTCCTTGCACCTTTAGAGACAAGCCATTGAGGAGGGGGATCAGCCAGTGGTGGAGGAACAACTCTGTTTTGCTACTTAAGTAAAAGTACAGATACCAGAGCAAAAAAATAAATACTTGAGCACTAAAAGTATGTGAATTTTGTTCAACAGAAACAATATTTTTTTCTTGCTGTTTTTTTTTTGTATATTTGTGTTTGCTCAAACTACAAACATGCTAAAAAAAAAACCCTCAGCCGCTTCAGCAGGTCTCAAATAATCATGAAAACTACTTTTTACTTTTCAGACGTGTTCAAGAATGTAGTGGAGTAGAAAGTACAGATACATTGTCTCAAATGCAATGAAGTAAAAAGTAAAGAATCCACTTTAAAATGTACTTATCTACACATTTTAGGTATCTGTATTTTACTTACAGTACAGTATTTTACTACTTTTTAATTTGTAATGTTACACCACTGTGATCCGTGAGTGTAGGGCCTCTTTAATACGCTACTTTTAAATTGTGCAGTGTTTGATGAATGTTTAGTGCCAGAAAAAAGCGAGAGATGTAATTGGCTAATATATGAAGAGCTATATTAAATTCACATTCTGACCACTTGAATTGTTTAAGGTCAAATAAATCAAGCTGTGGCTCTGGGTGGGTTTAGGCAGTGGCTGATAAGGTAACTCTTCAGCTTTAATATTTGCAGCTGTAAATGGACTTTTTGTTTTAGGCTTTTTAAATGAATCATGTACGTAACAGTGGGTTTTCATGTTTGTCAATCCTCTGATGTATTTTAACATCCATTCACATCTTGATGATTTTTTACATCAGAAACAGGCATTTAAAAATCAAAATCCAAAATATTTATTTAAAATTTGAAAGTATGATGTGCCTTGGAATAAAAGAAGTGAATGCTGTTTTAACAGGTTGCAGTTGTCTTTTTTTTATCATTTGTGTTATTAGGTCTATGTTGTTTAAATGTGCAGTAACTAATATTTTAGTAGTTAAAAGAGATGTAATTGCTTTGGCTGTAATGTCACACAGTGCTAGTTAAACTGCTCTATCTCCATGGAGACAAGCAGGTGACTACAGCAAGTTACAGGTCAGATTTGAGTTAGGGATAAAACATCTATTTGTATCAGAAAAATAGCATAATGCATCTTTAATACTCCCAATGAAATAACTAGGTTTTGTTATTTGTTTACTGTTACTAATTATCACTTTGCTAACTCAGTGTGTGTTAATATTTACAAATTACTGTTTTAGGCCCACCAAATGGAATGCAGTGTTTACTATATCATCAATGCCTTGATTAGGAGGAGCACTAAGTGGATAATAATTTAAGTAAGTCCTGTGGATCATTGGACTTGGTGGCTTTTTGTGTAATTATTATTTATGAATTTGCAACTTTCACAATGCAGACTTTTTACATGTACATTGCTTATTTATGACTGTTCCTCAAATAGCAATTTTTTGGTGTTAGTCTACTATTTAATGTTACAGAGACTAACCTATTACAATGCTAACTTAGATAGACATTCAGAAGATATGAAGTCATCATGTAGAAAAAATGGTTTACACTTCACAGCTATGCCTTGTTAGGGTCAAGAGATGCCAAACGTGCAAACCAAATCAAGGGGTAAAAGCCATTTTAGTTTAGCTTCAAACCACTTTTGAGTTATTTATTTAGAGATTTTTTATTGCTCCATTCCATATGTGGGAAAAAAAAAGACGATTGCGGAAGTACGCAAGTGTTTACTCTTCCGCGCGTGCTGCTCTTTGGTGATGCTAACCCGGAGCGCCTCGGCTGCCCTGGCCCCTGCCCGCTGCCTCATGCCCGCCCTGGGATGGATCTAGAGGAGGCTTTGCTGGCTGTCGGCGAGTTCGGCCCGTACCAGAAGCAAGCCGTAGTCGTCCTGGTTTTGACCCAGGTGAGTGACAGCCTGGCCCCGCATCTGCTCCCGTCTGTGCACGAAGCTAACTCTGAGCTAACTTTCAATCCTGGCGCTAATGCTACGTGGCTCTGTTGACTCGACTTTACAGTGAGCGTTACAAACATTCTTAAACACGCACTGTGACTCTATTTAGTAAACTGATGAGATAATACAACTGGTTAAATGGGTTCTGAAGTGGGGGTGACAGAAAGATGTGTTAGAAGCAGCACTGGGCGGTATAAAATGGACTGTTATTAAGTGAGTTTTTTTTTTTTTACATCCGCTATAATAAAGCAGTAAGTAGCCCGGTGTAATAATAAAGTCTAATTGGATTCGTGCAAAATCAGCTTCTGTTTTGCACATTAACATTCTGGTTTATAAAGGTCCTAAATACATGCATAATACCTTTTGTAGGAGCTATTTGCCTATTTTGTTTATTATAAAATTAGTTTGTTATTTTTGATTGTCAAATAGTTTAGTAATTTAGTTAGTTATTTTTTTATAATACAGTTTTGTTATGTTAATATTATGTTTGTTAATTTGTTTTTATTTACCTTAGCACCTTTTCTGTGGGGCACCTAGGGGTTAAAAGAGGATCAGAGGGCACCTGAGTGGGCCTATGGTTTTTATCAGTCGACAGGAGAGGCAGCAAGTTGGCCTGTATGGAATGTACCCTTGTTGGTTGCCTGTAAAGATAGAATAAAGCTAGGAAAATGCAGCTCTAGATATGGACATTGATTTTGTTTTTTACTTCATTGCGTAAACCACATGCCCACTGTGCCCAAAAGTGATTATTTGAGTTATCTTTAGTAGGGATGTAACAATAACCTCATTGTATCGTAAAGAAACTGACAAAAACACTTTACTGTTGGCCTCTAGTTTCCGTCCGACTCCCCTAAAAAGAGGTTTGCCTACAAGTCAATTTTATCGATTAAGAAGAATTTGCCATTCCACTGAGGACTTTATTCAACAAGCCACTGACCTGAAAGTGAGATTCCAACAACGAGGGTACCCTATCTCTTGGGTTGATGATGCTTATGGGCAGGCTCTCCTTAAGTCACGGACAGATTTATTAAAAAAGAGCACCAAAAGGCAAAAACATTATTCCGTAACCTGCATCACCCAATATTCGACCATTCGACCCATACACCTGCAATTAAATCAGTTTTCCTGAAATATTGGCATATTTTGAAATCAGACCCGGAAATTTCAACCATCTTTAAAGATCCTCCACTCTTTGTTCACAAACGAGGCAAAAATCTTAGAGACTATCTGGTACGGGCCAATTTCACAAACAAAACTAAACTATCCTCCCAATCTCTATTGCACCCTCTACCCAATGGTAACTACCGATGCGGCAGCTGTGCTCAATGCAATAATACAGTAAAAACAGATCATTTTTACACCCTCACACTGGTAAAAAATATCCCATAAAAAGTGTTATCACATGTGCATCTACACATGTAGTCTACATGTTGAAATGTCCATGCGGCCTAGTGTACATTGGCAAGACCACAAGAAAACTTAAACAAAGAATAAGTGAACACAAGAGCTCCATCAGAAGAAACGACCGGGACTACCCTGTAGCAGTACATTTTAATGATCAGAGACATGATATTTGCTCTCTACGTTTCTGTGGCATTGAGCATGTCCCCCCTCCACCCAGAGGAGGGGACCATGACCGCATACTTAAACAAAGGGAAGCATTTTGGATTCACACTCTCCAAACTTTAGCTCCTAAAGGACTCAATGACGATTTTAATCTAAGCATCTTTTTGTAGACATTAGTTTACATCATTAGGACTCTCGCTTTGGGTGGGCTGTATATGGGCTACAGCTTAAGATTCATTGTGTATATATATAGATGTGTATATGGCACGACAACATTATTTTATAGTTGGGTGAATGTATACTATGTCTATATGTATCCATATATTCTTCTTACTTTTCTAATATTATTCTATGATTGTTATATGATGATTTCATTATTATTATTTGTATTATTATTACACTATATGTTGACTGTCTCAGTTTTTTGAATTATGGGGTTTTATGTGCACTGTTTCTTTATGACCTGTCACCCTTGGGTGCTTGCCACACCCTATTTAAGATGGCCACCTTAGCTCTCATTCTGTTTGCCTGACGAAGGCCTAGTGCTGAAACGTTGCACGGTTTGTCCTAATAAATTTCACAATTTGCAAGTAAGACGGTATGCGGGATTTTTCTGTATGTAACAATAACCGAAATATTGTGATACCGTATCGTCAAAGTTCTCACCATCACAATATATTGAATTACAAGTCTCTTTGCTTAAATTAAGAGTTACGGTGCAGTAATAGCTAAAAAAAAAAGACAGAGGGAACTACATAGACCATGATCCTTTACTTCATTTCAGCGCAGACTACAAGGAGAAATAACAGTTCTTCTAACCACTTTTAAGTCTTAGTTCTTTATATTAACTCTCGTCAAGGCATTTTCAGAGGAAAATGGAGCATATTAACAGTTTTGTTTGCCTCCACAAAATATCACAATAAGTATCGTGAAAATATCATACAGAGAGATCTTGATATCGTTACATCCCTAATCATGAGCCTCCCCTCCATATTGTTAGCTTTCCCGCGATATTGCAATAAATACCATATCGTGAGGTTCATACGGTGACCATATTGTATCGTGAGACTTGGATATCGTTACACCCCTAATGTTTGGTTCGGAGTTTGCTCATCGCTTTTGTTTGTTTTCGTTCACAAATAGCCACTACAACTCTCTTGGTAAAATCTTAAACTGTAGCAGCAGTGGGATTATATAGAGGAGACTTTCGAGCCAGAATACACACTGCTCCAATGGGAATGGACAAGATAAAACTGTTACGAGATTTATTTATTTTTTTAATAATTCAATAATTGTGTCATGAAAAATACATTACAAATATGAAGTAATTTTTTTGCATAGACACACGGTTCATGCTGCCATCGTAGTAAGAGCTAGTACAGCTGGAAAATCACTGAGGACAAAAAATATAATGCAGAGACAGATTTGGTTTGGCCTGCATGGGCTCACAGTGGAAATGAGCTGCTGCCACTTATTAAGACTGCACACCGGTGTGTAGTCACACCCACAGGTGAAAGTGGGTCACGGGGTCAATTAAGAACAGGCACAAATATTTAACACAAACAGCACAAAGAATACAAAGCAATACAATATAATCTAATACAGTAGGGGTCTGCTCCCTTCAGAGTAGCAGTTTTTCACTCCGCTACATTTTGTGAATGTAGTATTTTGCTAGAATAATAGTTAAATTGATTTGATAGATGTCATCAGAAGAAAATTTTGAGCAAGTGAATATAGATGCAAATCAGATCAAGCATCATCATCTGGCCACACCTCAATATGAGTCTTTCACCTTCTCAATTTGATATGTATGTAACTTGTATTTCTGTATAAATACTGAGAGCTCAAATGCTCTGGGGAGAGACATGGGGAGAGAGAGATGGGGGCAGACATGGGAGACATGTGAGATACTGCTGGGGGTGAGAGGCTGTTGGGCTTTGGCCGGAACAGGCCTAGGCCCTGTCCATATCTGCTGTAACAAAAATAAACCTTAGTCTGTATTCCAAAAACTCATCGGGCTTCGCAAATGGATTCATTATTTATCTTCAAGAGATATATCATTTTTTCCACGACAGTAATATTTGAAATTTTGATATTCTAACATCTTTGCCTAATATTCCTGTTAAATAATGTCTGTCCAAAATCTGTGATGTGTGAGTGTTTTGTTCCCTCATGTACACTTTCCTTGGACAAGAAAGGGCTAACTCTGAGTGATACACCTACGCATCAAGAGAGCTGTAGTTCCAAAAAGAAGAGCTACTATTACCGCAAAAACATCACACAAAATAGATTAAAACAAGGCAAAAATAATGAACTGGAATGTACAAATAAAATACATTTATTTATTACAAATGACTTGTCTTGGACCAAATCTTCTGTCTCATCACATCTTGTCACAGTTGTATCTCGCTCCACTTCCATTCTCCAATACTTGATTTCCTTAGGTATGTATAATAAATATAGAACAAAATCATTCTGGACTTCCAGGCAAATAAGAGAGCGAGGCGTGTTGTGACACTGGGTAAAAACGAAGAAAAAAACTATAAAAAATGTGAAGTAGCATATTTGTGTGTTTTGTGTGTTATGTTTGCCTGAGATGTCTACAGAGCGATCACAGTAAAAAATGGAACTGACTCTTGTGAGCTTTAATCCGTGATAGAATGTTGTTACCTCACCAAAAACATACCTGTGTTTTCTTTTGTTCACGCTTGTTTGAGTAACCCTCTCTTATTAGTCTGTCAATATCTTCAAAGCTCAAAATGCTCTGTTCCGCCTTGTGATAATTTTTCAAGTTAACAGCTACATTTTTACCTTGAATTCAGAAGAGACTTTAAATATTTTTTATAACAATTACAATACAATTATCTTAAATTAAGTTTAACCTCACTGTAATAGAAATTTATATTGTGGAAAGATTTCTCTCAATCTGTTTTTGTGTAAATGAATGTGATTTCTACCTGAGGCCAGCACAGGCAATATCATGTGTAAAGGCTCAGAAAACACAACCAACTCCACCCTCAGGAAACCCTTTGCTGTACTTCCTGTCCTCAAATAGCTCAGATCCTCTGGTGGGAGATGGAGAGAAGAGTTGACTGGAGAGAGGAGAGTCAGGAGAGGCTGTTGGTCTGTGGCCGGGGCAGACCTAGGCCCTGTCCATATCTCCTGTAACAAGAAGAACAAACCTTTGGCTGCATTCCAAGAACTCATCGGGTTTCACAAATGGATGAATTACTTATCATCAAGAGTTTCAACTTTCAACTTTCTTATTTTCCCAGGAGGAAACTGTTGTGCAGCAGTGTCAGACATACAATACAATTCAATAAACCACTTAACCACAGCCTAAGCTAGCACAACAATGCAGACATACATTCCCTTAAAAATAGGCAAAAAAGAACAGATGTAAACCACATTTCACCAGGACTGATCCAAGCTATAAGAGCATTCATTTTAGTTATAGCATTAGAAATAAAGGAAGTCCGAGCTCTCTGAGTTCTGACCCCCGGGCATTCTCAGACACGCCTGAAAGGAAGGAAATTAAACTCCTAAAAGAGCGAGTAGTCAGGGCTCTCCATTATGTGTTGGGCTTTGCAAATCACCCTTCTGTTGTAGATGTCCTGCAGCTGTAAACCGACAATTTTACCTGCCACTTTGATCAACCGAGCCAGATGATTTCTACAAGACATAGAGAGTGCACCGAACCAACAGACAATACAAAACCCAAGAATAGATTCAATAAAACTCTGATAAAAAAGGGTCATAAGAACATTTCTGATGTTAAAAGAATTCATTTTCCTTTCTGTTTGCTGCACTTTGTTGCAGATGGCATATTTTTTCCATAACATCACCAAGAGAAGAGCACCTGGGGGTTTGGGGGAGGTTGTCATGTTTGCTGAGGGCTGACAAATATTGACCTGAGGCTGGATCTGGCTCTCTACCCGTTGCCTGTTCTACCTTTTAGGCTTTACTCATCTGACAAGCCTCTTTGTTCTAGGGCTGTTTACTAACACTTTTTAAATGCACAGTTTAGGGTCATAGAGATACATGTTGCTACTAGTCAACTAATCGAAGCTCAGGGCATGTCTGTAGTTCACTGCAGCTCTACTGTACTTGTTATTCATTCACTCCACACTTCCTGTTGTAGCCACACCTACCAGAAACGAGGCTGCCAATCTGCCCCATCAGCCAACTCTGTACAAATTTGCATGTTTTTTCTCGTTCCCCTCAACCATGTTTTGTTAAAATAATCCCACACGCTGTCCCAGATTCTTTCAGGCAATCCAATTTTAACTTCTGTAAAAGATTTCGTACAGTTGTGTTCTTTAAGCTTTTATAAAATAATATGAAACATTATTGAAGGGCCTGTATTGTGTAAAATTGACTCCTTTGAGTTTTAAGCCATGTTATAATGTTGTTACTTCCTCAAAAACAGACCTGGAGCTGTGTTGTGTTTCATTCACATGTTTGAATAATCCTTTATTATCAGTCTGTCTATATCTCCAAAACTCAAAATGCTCTGTTCCACCTTGTGATGTCATGAAGTGGCAGTTTTCACATTAACAGCTCTTTTTACATTTTATGAAAACCTTTTAGAAATGGTTCTAGTTAAGGTGTATGGAGTTTGGAGATTTTTTTTTTTTTTCAAATATACAATGTAATATACAATGATATAAACAATAACATTGCTAGAAGCTTAAGAATTCATATTCACAGCATGTGCAATATCTGCATTATGCATTATACAAATGTAGAAAAATAAATACATTCACATTTTACATTTTAAATTCCATAGAAACTACTTTTCTTTTCATGGCTTTGGGATTTGTACAATAATTTAAAGAATTTATATAAGAGGACAAGAGGGACTGAAATATAATAAATTTGGCTTTCTGACTGAAAAATTTACAGCAATAATATGAATTTTTTATAGGATTAGGATAAAGTTCAACACTCTTTCACACTTTTTTTTTTTTTTTGCAGGAATATCGTTCTCAGAGACACCAAAAAGTACAGGTTTTACATTAAATTAGAGTTGTATCAAGCTTTTTATTCACAAACAAAAATATGTAGAAACAATAATAGTTAAAAACACATTCCCATGACATCACAAGGTGGAATAAAGTGTTTTTTATTTGAGAGATGAATTGAGCCTAAAAATGCAGAATTGCATGTGTTAAACATGTGTGAATGAAACAAAACACAGCTCCAGTTATGCTTGTGATGAGGAAAAAACATTAGAGCACAGACCAGAAAACTGTAATAATCTGCCTCACAAAAGTTACACCTTGTTCTCTTGTTTTTCCACATTCATTTATCACACATATATTCCATTCTAGGTGTATATGGCCTGCCAGTCTATGCTCATTGTTCTGGTGGGCACAACTCCCCCGTACCAGCTCAGACAGACGGACGGCACCTCCCCTGGCCCGGCGGAGAACAGCCCGCAAATCATCTTCACAGAGGACGTAGACAGCATAGTGACTGAGGTGAGAGCTCCTGTTCCTGTTTCAGTTGCTTGGATCTCAGACTGTTTTACATATGAAGTCAAAATTGCAAATCAAAAGCACATTTACATACACTACTGCCAGTCAAAAAAAAAAACAATGTCATGTAATTGAACTGTAAGGCGCACCGGTACAGTTTGCTCGTACCATTTATGTTAGAGGAAGACCTGTATTTTAAGTTTCATCTTGAGAATTAGTTTTTAAAGTTTAGTTTTTACCTGAAGTTTAGATTATTTGACATTTAAGGAATGAATTACAAAAAAAAAACCCAACACCTAAATATTAAGGTTTTATTTCAAATACTTAACTCAAGACCTAGCTCAGCCAATATTAACTTGTATTTAACCTTTTTTTGGTACAACAAAATAAATAATATAATGTAACAATGATATAATACTACTGATTAAGTAAATAATTAGACATAAGAAACTACTAAAGGTACAACAAGGCAACTAAATGAAATAATGAAACAGATTCTCCTTGTGTCTGTGGTGTGCACTTTTTGACATACGTTCAAAAATCGTTTAACTGAAACTGAGAAATCTTGTAGTGTGTGGCAGCCTTTAGTCAAATGAGTAGTCTAACCTGACATAAAACCCTCTCAGTGACACTCTACTATATTAATAAATGGAAATGACTACAGTACATGAACAAGTATGTCCGAAGTTATGATTGATGGTGTACTCTGTGTTTTTTGTGTTTTCCAGTGGTTTCTTATCAAACAGCAGGCATATAAAGTGAGTCTAGCTGGGTCCCTGTTCTTTGCTGGGCTCTTGCTCGGGAATGTAATCTTTGGACCGCTGTCAGATAAAGTGGGCAGGAGGCCAGTGTATTTGACAGGTAAATGAATGACCCAATCTCTTTATTTATACACTAAACTAAACTTGATTCTTGAAAGTGTCCACCTTTGGCAGATAGAACAGCTGAACACACTCGTGGCTTTTTCTTTTTACAATAGAAATCAAATATTGTTCAGAAAGTTCTTCCCAAGTCTATTGCAGAAGTTCCCATACATGAGTGGCACTTGTAGATTGCTTGACTTTCACTCTTCTGTCCAGTTCATCCCAATCCAGCTCGATGGGGTTTAAGTCTGGACACTGTGCTGGACACTCCATGTTTTCAAGCTTTACCATCTTGTTCTTTTTTCCTGAGGTAGTTTTTGGCAGAGCTTGGACTTGTTATGTGTTTTGTTATCTTTTATCTTTTTTTTTAACCCCTGGCTGTTCAGTTCTTACCTTTGTACCATTTAAAGTTTTTTGTTGGACTTGCACGACTTGAATTGCAATAAATAACTGGAAAAATTTAAGTGTTCTAAAACCTTTGAAAGTAGTGTATATGTGAGTATTTAGAGTTAGACTTAGACAAACTTTATTGATTCACAAAGGAAATGACTTGGACACAGTAGCTCACACATCACAGTATAATTTTGTAACAAAGAGTAAAAATATAAGTGGTAATAATAGATTCTAAATAAGTAGCAAACATAGCAAGAGACTGGTGTTAAATAAGGCATAATTATATAAATCTATATGTACAAGGAAAAATAAAATATTGGAATACAGTAATACAAATGTACCTCAGTTATATTTGTGCTCAACTTTTGACTGTGGCTTTAAAGGGATAGTTCGGATTTTTTGACATAAATCTGTATGGCATCCCCGTCATCAGTGTTGTGCATCCACACCGACTTACCCTCCGAAAGCGTCCGGTGAGCTGAGATACTGGCCCGTTTTGGTGCTGAGGAAAGTAGTTCGGCAAGTTGTGTGGGGACTGTATACTAAAGCGTTTTTCTTCTCAAAGCAATATTTGTTCAAAAGAGTGATACATTTGCATCACAAAACCATCGTCGCCAAAAAAGTCAGATCTCATAATCGCTTGGCGCTATTTTCTCTCCGTACGTACCACTGCGCGCGGCCGCCAGGTGACAGCCGCGAATGGATCCATCACTTTCTTCAGTTGTTCGGCAGTGTTTACATGCGCAGACCGCCGCCACGCGAGAGAGCTAACGAGAGAGCTAGAGCCATAAGTATATGAGCCTGGTTCACTTTGTTTACTGCTCGGAATGTTAGCGACAACACGTCTGATTATGACACCGACAATAAAGACTTTGCCTTTACCACAAACCCAAGGGGAGATCTTTGTGAACCTGAATATACTGATGCCGAATCTCACCAGATGGAGTTAGAACGAGCAGAGAGAGAGAGAGAAAAGACAGAGAAGTGGTACAAGTTGACGCTGGAGCCGTGAGAGGCCGAGTGAGCGACAATCACCATCACGTCATTTATAAACTCGTATACAGCGAACATAGAGCCTCCACTGTGACTGAAGCATGGACTACTAACAGAAACATAGAATCATTCACACATCCACGTAGCTGCTACCAATAGTGTACGTGACATTTATAATAGTAATAACAGTCGACTTATAAAGTTACGTTTTGTAGAAGCTTCACTGGTGATATGACACTGAGTGATTTACTGCACACAGAGTTACAGCTGATTCTTGAACCTGTTCTCTTGTAAACGTAGCGGCACTTCTTCGTTCTTACCTGGTTTGGTTTCCACATTGAAGCCAAAGTTTCCTCAGCGCAAAGTCCGTGACAGGAAAACAGTGAAATGTGCGTGGAGATTCAGCCAGATTTTTGTTGTTACAGCCTGGATAATCAAGAGTTCGCACCATTTTTTAGATATATTCATATGTATCTTAGACAAGCTCATATACTTATGGCTCTAGCTCTCTCGTTAGCTCTCTCGCGTGGCGGCGGTCTGCGCATGTAAACACTGCCGAACAACTGAAGAAAGTGATGGATCCATGCAGTGGTACGTACGGAGAGAAAATAGCGCCAAGCGATTATGAGATCTGACTTTTTTGGCGACGATGGTTTTGTGATGCAAATGTATCACTCTTTTGAACACATATTGCTTTGAGAAGAAAAACGCTTTAGTATACAGTCCCCACACAACTTGCCGAACTACTTTCCTCAGCACCAAAACGGGCCAGTATCTCGGCTCACCGGACGCTTTCAGGGGTAAGTCGGTGTGAATGCACAACACTGATGACGGGGATGCCATACAGATTTATGTCAAAAAATCCGAACTATCCCTTTAAGGACAGACCAGACCAACCCACCCAAGTATTAAAAAGGGATGTGAACATTACATATTAATCAAAGCAGGCTGTTGATACTTGGCAGATGATGTCATCAACGTTCCTGGGGGTATGATGCAAACTGCAGGCTCTGCTCTATCTGGGCGGCTTTATTAGACTTTAATCTGAGTTTTGTTTGAACACAATTAGACCTCAAAGAGCTGACTTAGATGAAACTACAACAGGTGAGCTAATCGGTCTGCTAAACAAGCCTCTCACAAATTAAATTACAGTCACAAGTTAGATTTTCAGTTAGTCACTCTTGCCTTTTTGTCAAAAATCAAACCCCTAAACATCACCATGAACACTCAAACTGAAAATGCTCCTGAAAATGTGCTGTTTCAATCTATTTTGTATTTTTCTTGGAGTTTTCAAACAATCTTAAAATGTTGACAGTGTTTGCTAATGTGTGCACTGTGTCACCATGGTAACTCCTAAACATTTCACCATTAGAGATTACTGCAAAGTATCAAATCATTTTCTGGTTTCAATTCAATTCAACTTTATTTATATAGCACATTTAAAACAACTTCAACTGACCAAAGTGCTTCACATACAAGTCAACAAAATAGAAGAAACAGTTACATATCAGATCCACTGTCCCACAGGTTGGCTGGTGTGATTCCAGCTCCCACAGATGAATGCTGTCGTTGTGTCCTTGCCCACAGTGTCTGCGTCTGAATGTGTGTGTGAATGTGTGTGTGAATGGGTGAGTGGTTCCTTGTTGTAAAGCACTTTGAGAGCCTTGAAGGTGGAAAAGCTCTATAGATTTACCATTAACATGTGAAAACTACAATAAAAACAGCAAGATAACCTGACTAGCTAGTACTAAATCCCAGAGAGAAGAGGTGAGTTTTCAGTCTAGTCTTAAACTGCGTTACAGACTGACATTATCTGACAGGAAGAGGAAGGTTGTTCCACAGTCTGGGCGCTGCCACAGAAAAGGCTTTATCACCCCTCATCTTGAGCCTAGTTTTGGGCACGACCAACTGGAGCTGGTCGGCTGATCTCAGGGCTCTGGGCGGAGTACAGGGCTGTAGTAACTCCCTCAAATAGACGGGACCCATAAAGTGTAAACATTTGAAAACAATTGATAGCATTTTAAATTACACCCTATATAAGCCAGTGCAGGTCACACAACACAGGTGTGATGTGTTCAAGTTTCTTAGTATTTGTCAGCACACGAGCTGCAGCGTTCTGGATGTGTCATAAGCACTGCAGGAGCCCTGGTCTAACCCTGCATACAGAGAATTGCAATAGTCCAGGCGTGATGTTATGAAAGCACGGATAGCTCTTTCAAACTCCGCCCGTGGGAGGTCGGGCTTTACTTTAGCAAGGAGCCTCAACTGAAAGAAGCTGGACTTAATCACAGTGCTAATGTCCTTGTCCAGTTTAAACATAAGGTCCACAATCACCCCAAGATTCCTCACTGCAGGGAGACAACAGTAGGACAGAGGACCAATGACGCTGTCCTGCCCAAGCAGTGGGTTAGTTTGCCCAAACACCACAATCTCGTTTTGTTTATGATTTAGGTTCTGGAAGTTAGCGCTCAACCAGGTCTGTACATCCCTGAGACAGTCCTGCAGAGCTTTGATCATGCTCTGGCTGTCAATTGCTCTGAATGTCACCTGCAAAACAGTGAAAAGTGACATTGTGCTTTCTAAAAACATCACCCGGGGGGGAATATACAAAGCAAAGAGGGCCGGTGCTAATGTAGAACTCTGGGGCACACCGTACTGTAAGGGGGACACAGAGGAGGAGAACTGTGCTAAGTTTACAGAAAAACTCCTGTCTGACAGATATGACCAGAACCATCAGAGCACTGTACCCTTAATGCCCACATGTGTCTTCAGGTGAAACAGAAAGATGCTGTGATCCACCATGTCAAACGCGGCTGTTAAGTCTAAAAGCAAAAGAACAGCGGATCACTGGTGCACAGTGATAATCAACCTTGTGTAGATCTTGATTTGTTCAGTGTAAATAGTTTTCCTTTATTAAAATGAACAAACAATCATGTCCATTGAAACTTCATATCTGATTCTATACTTTAAAGATATTAATTTAGAAAAATGGCTATGTGACACCCAGCTAAATTTACTTGAGGTCCACAAACTTAACGCTTGTCTGTACACTTGGGATGGGAAATGGCCTTTTTCCTCAAAAAATGCAGTTAACTTATTGCAAAATGTATCCACTTGAGTTATGTAATTGTTATTCTGTTTTATATCTAACTCTGAACAGCTCTGTATGAATTAAAGTACAAACAGTATAAGGCATTCTAGGCAGGCACATTGACAGAAATTTGTGGGCCTGTGGCAAGAAGCCTTAGGAAATAATCAAATTACATAAAATAAAAGTCCCCCACAGATGTCTGCTGCACCAATATCATGGGGTTGATGCGCGATCTGCAAATCTGTGTTGGATCTGCAAATGACAGTGATTAATATTAAAGTAGAATTAAGTTATTGTGTGAGTAATGTAATAATAATCATAATAATATTAAAATAGGAAGTGCTCTCTGCCTCTCTGCTGTTCTCCTGTGTCCCCCTCTGCTCCTGTCTGCTCCTGTCTGCTCCTGTCTGCTACTGTCTGCTCATGTCTCCTGCCTGCAACTCAGCATGCCTACATTTTTGGCCTGATCAAAGCACAGCGTGTGTTCCAGCTAAAATAATATTCAAAGACTGAAAAGAGAATGGTCTCTGAAGTACAAAATCCATTTTATTTTATGTCTCTCTTTTCAGACTTAAAAGTGGACTGTGTAACTTTTCTGACTTAGGGTCTCCCACGTGCTTGTTACCATAGAAATTATTGTTTTTCCTTGCATGTTGCACAGTATGACATTAAGCATCTATCCAACGTTTATTCAATTACAGGCGTTTTTACTGCTAAAAATACCTTGAAAAACGTGTTGTGAGTGGGCTTGCCTCTCCACAGATCTGACCTGTTACTTGCTTGAGCATTCCACCTGTCTGTCTCCATGGAGTTTAGTAAGTTTATCGTCACACTGTGGAACATTTCAGGCACAGCAATAATATCTCCATGGAAACAAGCAGGTGACGGACTCCCAACCAAAACTTTACACAATGCACCTTTTAAAAGAGATAAAAACATAAAAATGGCTGTCCTTGTGTGACCTTCAGGAAATAAAGGTTGCCAACTCCTGTTCCAGTGACTAAAAAGAAAACAATGGAAATCAGGAAGTCTGTCATCGGCTGCTTCTCATTGCTCTTTCCTCACTTTCTTCTCTTTGATTCCTCTCCTTGATCTGTCATATTAAGCAGTGTCCCTTAGAAAATCACTTAAGGAAGGAGTAAAAGTGAGGGAGGCGTCAGGCGCAGATATCAGAGAAAATAATCAAACTTTCTTGGTCTCAGTGAGGACTTTATTTCGATCATGGAGGAGGAAGCGTGGACAGACAAATGAGACCCAGCCCTTGTTATGTGCTGCTTTGTGGAAAAAAAAATCTCTAAATGGAATTTTTCTGACTAGCATTGAGTTTAGATTTGCTTTTTTTTTTTTTGTTTTGTTTTTTTTCTTCCTTTCTCTCTTTTCAATATAATAGAAAAAATCTGTATTTTATTTGGAAGATTAAGTTTAAGACAATGTTTGATCCTTAAACAATATTTACATATGTGTAAGTGTAATAATTGTCTTGGAAAATTAATAAACAAATAATATATAAAAGAGTTTAGATTTGCAACTCATATTTTAATATCAGTTCCATGCTATAAACACAAAGATAACATTGGCAAAGCGTGAAATCTGAACTGACAAACTAATACAAGAATCACATGTCACAACTGGTTTTGTATAGATCAAAACTACAGGGTTAGCAGTTTTTATGCAGAATAAAACAGGAGATTTTGAGATTATGGTACTTAAAAATTGCAGACTAATTTTGACTTTATTTAGTGGGATAAAACCTGTTGCAAATATAAATTATAGTTTTACACCTATCACGAATCAATTTGCGAAAAGAAAAGTAGTAAAAATGTGACAGATGACATCACACTGGGAGAATTCTACAAAAGTTTGGCATGATTTTCTGACACTTTAAACAATATTTCATCAAAATAAAGCTGTTTTCTTATAATTTTATTTCGCAAATCATAGTTTCTGTGACATGAGAGGAGTTTTTGCTCAGTGTACAAAATGGTTGCTAGGTAACAGTTATGGAATTCCTACTGTGATTCTCAATTTCTAAACAGGAAGTAAAATTTGATACCTGAAAAAATGCCAAATTCTGATTTAAAAAGTCACATTTTAAATATAAATGTCTTAATTGTGTAAAGTGAGAAGTCCAACCCCGCATAAAGGTGCACTGTGCTGTGTAACTTTTCGGTAGGGGGTCCATAAGTTACTTGTTTCTAGGGAGTTGTCATTGCTCTGCCTGGAATGTTTGGAATGTTCCACAATATGATATTAAGAAGCTCTACATTACATTTATGCAATTACAGATTTGTATCTTAAAAATGCCTAGAAAAAGAGGCATTCTGACTGTGAGCAGGGTCGCCTCTTCACAGCTCTGACCTGTACCTTGGTCTGGTTTGGTCTCCCTGAAGATAGAAAGGTTTAATACCATATTGTGACACATTCCAGACAAAGCAATACAACTCCATGGAGAAAAGCATCTGACTGACCCTCCACCAGAAAAGTTACGCAATGCACCTTTTAAACCATGTTAAAACTGTTGTAAGAATAAGTTTATAATGGATGTGCATGTGTCCCTCTCTGTTGCAGGCCTGTTTTTTGAGGTGCTCTTTGGTTATGTCACAGTTTTTGCCCCGAGTTATGAAGTCTTCGCAGCCTCTCGTCTCCTGGTCGGGTTCATGAACGGCGGCATCGGCCTCGTGTGCTTCGTCCTCACACAGGAGTACGTGGGAAAGTCCTACTGGGCCATGACAGGTACGATCATCACACGTAACAGAGGGGTTGTCTATCTATGAATACTGTCCTGATCTCATGATGAGTGATGGGGAGGAGGTTCTGTTCATATTCTGCAGCTGATGTCATCAACATTCTCTGGGTGTGTACTGTAGGGATGGAACAATATCCACATTTTTCAGTATTTTCACGATATGCATTTCTCAATATGATATTTATTGAAATATGTTGTAGAGGCTAACAAAATTGTGAATAAATTACTTTTTCCTTTACATGCCTTGATAAGACTTTGGTTCTGTCATAAGCCAAAGAGTTAAGATTTAAAAGTGCTTAAATTATTTCACTGTGTAAATTAGACAGAAACACAGCAAAGGATCATGGTCTATGTAGTTCTCTCTATTTCTTTTTGCTGTTGCTGCACCATAACAATGAATTTAAGCAAAGAGACTTTAATTCGGTATATTGTGACGGCCCATAATATTATTGTGAGACTTTTGACGATATGATATCACAATATTTCTGTTCACTCCATTCAGTGTAGTGAAGACTGCGGTGAGCTCTACATTGGAGAAACAAAACAGTCACTTCACAAGAGGGTTAACCAACACAGACGAGAGAGCAACACTGGACCTCAGTCCGTTGTACATCTCCACTTAAAAGTCACAGGCCACTCCTTTGAGGACAGTGAGGTACAGATCTTAGCCACAGAAAAGAATTGGTTTGAGAGGGGAGTTAAAGAGGCGACTTTTATTTAGAAAGAGAATCCTTCCTTGAACAGAAATGGAGAGCTCAGACATCATCTGTCTCCCATTTATAACTCTATCCTCAAAACTAAATCAAAACAAACAAAGAGAAAAATAGGGGTAGCCAGGTCAGATCCAGAGGTGTGAAAACACCCATTATGGCCCTGAATGGTTATGCAAATATGACTCCACACTCAGTACAAGTTCAATAGCCTAGCTAACTAACAGAAAAAAAGTAAGTGTATTACTTTCAATGTAATTTCAGTGTAGTTAGCGCCTCCCTACAGGCAGATATAAGGCAGAGTCCACCATCGTCTGACCAGAACTGAAGAAGCAGCTTGGAAGAGCTCTAAAACATATTTGACCAACATAAACTTTTGTCCAGCTGACAAATTGAATTTCTCCTTTTGCCATGGATTCTACCTGGATGACTGAGGGATTCTACATCCACAAATTAAAGAGGTCAATCTAACAGAGCGTCTAGACTTAATCTAAGATTTATTTTAACACAATCTGGTCAGAAAAATCTAACTTAGTTAAAACCCCATCAGGTGAGCTGATTTGTGCTGTTGAACAAGTCTCTCAAATGTAAAATTACAGTCACAAGCTAGCTAGCATTAGTCAACATATTTTCACTGAGTCACTGCCACTTTTTTTGTAGAAATTCAAACTCCTGCACAGGACCATGAACGCTCGTATGGATCACAGTAACAGAGTACCAGAACCCTGTCAGAACTGAAGAAGCTTCCCCACATCTTCACTCTTAAACCTTTGTCCATTTGAGCGAATTACATTTTCTTTTGCTATGGAACCTACCTAAACCACAAGACATTTACACAGACATGTTTTGTTTAATGCTGCTTTGTGCTGAGACTCATACCATCTTCTTTCCCCACCCACTCCTCCTATAGTCAGCTTTGGAATGTTTTTAGTGAATGAGCCATTACAGAAAAAAAAGACAGATGGCTTGTGTAACAGGTTCAGGAATTGTGATAAACTCCTGAAATATGTTTCCTTTGCCTATGATGTTCCACTGTATGGCATTAAAGTCCATAGAGAAAGGTAGATCAAGTCACCAGGCCAAGTTACATGTCAGACCTGTGGAGAGCTCACAGTAAGAATCCATGTAAATATAAGATAAGTTTAAATGCCATACTGCGAAACATTCCAGGAAAAGCAAGAAAAAAGTTACAGAGTACAGCTTTTAAGGTGCACTGTGCAACTTTTCTGGACATACTTGTCTCCATGGAGATGTTATTGCTTTGCCCAGAATGTTCCATGGTATAATACAATAATTTCTTCTGTGAATAGGGGCGACTCTACAGATCTGAACTGTAATGTAGCGTAGAGCTGTAGTAAAATGCTTGTCTCCTTGGTTATAGATGGGTTTAATCTATACTGTGGAACATTACAAAGCAGTAATATTTCCATGGAGACAAGCAGGTGGCAGACCCTCCACTGGAAATGTTACCCAGTTCACCTTTTAAGGATTGTTGTTTTTTGTACTGTACACGTTTGTCCGGCCATATTCTACAATTGTCCAGCTAAAGCTATTAATAGTACTTACTTGAAGTGTTCAGACAATACGAGGAAATTCCAAACTCATATCATTCTATGGTGGTGAACGACATCACAAGGTGGAAAAGAGCATTTTGAGCTTCAGAGATGTAGACAGACTAATAAAGGATTACTCAAATATGTGTAAATGAAACATAACACAACTCCAGGTATGTTTTTGATGAGGTAACAACATTCTAACATGACTTAACATATCATGACCTCAAAAGAGTCAATTTAGTGTAATATAGGACCTTTTAATGTTGTTTTTCTTTGTTTATGTTCTACATTTTGTACACAGAAGACATCACATTTATGACGCAAGATATATGGAATTATGTAGCAAAGAAAAAAGTTAAATAACACAACAAAATATTTATCAGATTTTAGATTTGAACGTTTACGGTATCCACCCTTAGCTGTGTTGACAGTTCTCCAAACCCTCGGCTTTCTCTCAGTGAGCTTCATGACGACATCTCCTGAAATGGTTTTCACTTGGCAGCTGTGTCATGTCAGAGTTCATTATTGGAATGCCAAGAGTGCAAAGCAAAGGGTGGCTGGGTTTACTCAAAATCTTAAACAACTTTTGATTTAATTTGAGTTTATTTGTTGTTTGCTTCATTCTTTTTGCGTCATCTATAGTTTTGATGCCTTCACTGAGAATCTACAGTGTAAATAATGATAGAAATACAGAAAAAAAACATAATATATGACATAAAAGTTACTCCACACTTCTAGTTTGATCTCATTACTTATCTTTGTATTGTTTTGTGCAGGGACTTTGGCCAGTATGACATTTGCGGTGGGCATCTCTCTGTTTGGGGCCCTGGGGTACCTGATTCGCCCGTGGAGGAGTTTGGCGATGGCTGCGAACTCCCTGGGCGTGCTGTTCTTCCTCCTCTCTGTGTGAGTGTAGGTCAAGGTCAAAATCCAATTCCACTTTTTTTTTCTAGAGCACATTTAACAAACAAAGCAGTTTCCAAAAGTCATAAAACAAAGACAACAAAAGTAATAAAAGATGAACCATAAAAATCTTAAAATAGCAATAAAGTAAAGTAAAAAGTAAATAAAGTAATAAGTAAAGTAAATAAATAAAAGACAGAGAACACAGATACAGAGAAGGGCAAGGTTTATTTATATAGCACATTTAAAAACAGACAGTACTGCCCCAAAGTGTTTAACAAAACAGATAAAACACAATTTAAGAATAAAACATGGACAAAACTAATAGAAAATCAGCTTGAGTTAAAGTGAGTGTACTGACCTCATGAGACCTGGGTGGGGTCCACTCAGGCAGCATAAACAGAGAGAAAGTAAATTAACCCATTGTTTGGATACTAGAGTGGTGTAACAGAAGTCATAGTGAAAGGAGCCGTGTGTCGCTGCTAGTGACTAGATTTCTCATTTTTCTTCTCAGTGTAACAGGAAATGCACATGAAATATAAATAAATGGAGGATTATAAAATGTTAAGAATTATGTTGTTGGCTAGTAAAAAAGCAATTACCAGGAGATGGCGAAGTGATCTGAGGCCTAAAATGGAAGTATTTGTAATATGGAAAAACTCACTGCCTCACTTAGATTGGAAGGTCATAAATTTAAGAAAATTTGGAAAGGATGGTTACATTATATTAAACAACATAGATCTGTTGTGTAGAACCTGTATGAGTGTCTGGATAACAAAGACTGAACTTACACCCCGGTTTACAGTGTTTTATTTTATTTTTTGAATTACTTGTTCTTATGTAAATTACATTACAGTTTGTGTAAGTAGGAATGAGAAATGTGGAAATGCTTAACTATGGACATTGGACATTTAGACTTGACATGGACAATTTATAAATTACTTTGTTTGTCCTAATTATCATGTAAATCCACATTGTGAAAAGACAATAAAATACAAATGAAAAAAAAAAGAAATATAAATAAATGATAACGTTAAATGTCCTATATTACTCAAAATTGACTCTTGTGAGCTTTAAGCCATGTTAAAATGCTGAAATAACTTCCTCAAAAACATATCTGGAGATGGTTTTGTTTCATTGACACATGTTTGAGTAATCCTTTATTTTTAGTCTGTCTACATTTCCAAAATGAGGTAGTTTTCAAAATAACAGCCAACTTTTACCTTTAGTACAGTGAAGATTGACTATTCCAGGGCTGAAATCATCCAAATGATTCAAGCAAAGGTGTATGGAGTTTAAAAACACAGTGAAGCACTTCTTGTACTACCACATGACATCACAATGTGGATCAGATTGTTTTTAAATTGAGAGAACAGCCTAAATCTGCAGAGTTTGTGTGTTAAACATGTGTGAATGAAACAAAACACAACTCCAGGTTTATTTGTGATGAAGAAACATTATAATATAGATGAGGAAATAGTGTAATATGGGTCCTTCAGAAACCTCAAAAATGTGAAAAACAGAATTAGTTATTTTTAAACAGTTTGCAGTGGTCCAGAGTTCTTCCTCACTTACCTTTATGTATTCAGAGCATCCTAATTATTCACCATGATGAGTATAAACACTTTTGACAATTTTCAGAGGTAAAGCCAACAACAACTTGCATGATAACTTGCCCACTTTGTAATCAGATGCAGATAGCGAGCGGATTTATGGACTTATTTTGACCCGAAGAGCTGCTTAAACAATATAACTGAACAGAGCAACTCTCAGACACGTGGTAATGTCTTTGCATCTTCCTGTAAAAGCTGCAGTTTACAGTTAGATGCAGTGACATAAGGGAGTTTCCCCAATCTGCTTACACCCTTTCTACTGAATAATTGCCAAGAAGAAACTTTTAACACGCCCATATTACGCTATTATCTAATCTATGTTATGATTATTACAAATATACCTGCACTGCACTGTATTTTTAAACTCCATACGCCTTCACTAGAATCATTTGGGTGGTTTCAACTCTGGAATTTCCAATCTCTACTGAAATGAAATGCAAAAAAAAAACTGTTAACTTGAAAACTAGGTGGAGCAAAGCATTTTTTAGCTATGGAGATGTAGACAGAGTAATAATGCAGGATTACTCAAGCATTTTCTGAGACAAAATGCAACTCCAGGGATGTATTTTAAACAATGGATGTCAAAACAAAAAACATACATTGTTCAGAATTTTCATATGAAGTTTTAATTAAATGATCTTGTTGTGATATTCTTTCTGTTTCCTGACCAGTACGCTGCCCGAGTCTCCCCGTTGGCTCTATTCCCAAGGCCGAGCAGAAGAAGCAGAGGAGGTAATGTTTAACAGCTGCTTAGATTAAGACATAGTTGGACACAGGTGCATTTTTCTGGTTTAGGCTCCGTCAAAGGCTTTTCTCCATGGAGATGTTATTGCTTTGCCTGGAATGTTTCACAGTACGGCATTAAACCTTTCTATCTTCAGGGAGAGCAAACCAGAATGAGTTACAAGTCAGATCTGTGGAGAGCTGACCCCATTCACAGTCAGAATGTCTGTTTTTTAATGTATTTTTGAGCTATAAAACCACCTGTAATTGAAGAAATGTAAAGTAGAGCTGTTTAATGTCATACTGTGGATCATTCCAGGCAGAGCAATGACATATCCATATAAAAAAGTTACATAATGCACTTTTAAGTTAAAAATTTGGACACACTTTTTCATTTTTTCTTTATTTCCATGATTATTTACATTGTAGATTCTCACTCAAGGCATCAAAGTTGCAAATGACACATGTGGAATGCAGCAAACCAAAAATGTGTTCTAAATAACTCAAAACTTTAGATAAAATATGTAACGCTATTTTCTGATCTATGTTCTAATGTTGTTTCCTCATCACAGACAGACCTGGAGTTGTGTTTTGTTTTATTCACAGGTTTAACACACACTTTGCAAATTCAGGCTGAGCTCTTCTCTTAAACTGAAAACAGGAAATGGAGGAAGTGTCTTTTCAAACTCCATACAGCTTCAACTAGAAACATTTGGATGGTTTCAGCTCTGCCAATCTCTACTGAACTAAAGGTAAAAGGAGCTGTTAACTTGAAAACTACTGCATCATGACATCACAAGGTGGAACAGACCATTATGAGCTTTGGAGATGCAGACAGACTAATAATAAAGGGTTACTCAGACATGTGTGAATGAAACAAAACACAACTCCAGGTTTGTTTTTGAGGAGGTAACAACCTTATAACTTATTATTAACTTAAAAGCCCACTTTTTGCACTTTTGGCATTTCTTGACCCTGACGTGGCACAGATGTGAAATGAGAACCATTTCAAAACACTTCATCTAGAGTCTTACTGAGAGAAGGCAAAGGGTTTGCAGCACTGTCAACAAAGCTTTGAAGATTTGAATCTAACATATAAACTAGTTGTTTGAGGGTTTTTTTGTACTACATAATTCCATATATCTAGCTTCATATATTTGATGTGTTCTACATGTATCTAAACTGTATAAAGTAGTAAACAGAAAGAAAAGAAAATGAATGAAAGGGTTTGTCCAACCCTTTGACTGCTGGTGCACATTGATCTTGGCTTGGTTTTCTAACACGCTCTCATGGTGTAAAACTGGTATTGACACTAGATACTCACACTACTGAAAATAATGACAGGAGAAACTTCATGATTAATATAAGATTAAAGGTCCTGTATTATATAAAAATTGACTCTTCTGAGCTTGAAGTGAATGAAACAAAACACAACTCCAGATCAGTTTGTGATTTGAAACTACATTATGACATACAGAAAAAAAAGCATAATATGGGCCATTTAGTAAAAATCGGTTTACCGTATTAATAAAGAAATATATTATTTTGTGTTTAAAAAATCTAACTTTTGTAATGAGATAGATATGGAAATCAAGTTGAAATCAAGTTGTAATTTTGCTATCATAAAAATCTGCACCACTAAAACAGCCTGATCCGGCTTTATAGAGGTAAATCTGGTTTTCAGTCCAGGAAGAGAGCTGTATTTCATATTACTGTGTCCAAAGTTCAAATTCATTGTTGTTTTGCTTTCATATCAGTTGGCATAGATGTGTGAGCATGGGGCACCAGTTTGCAGTACTTAAAGGGACCAGTGCTTTGTCTACTCTAGAATGTTCCACAGTATAGGTTTACCGTATTTTCCAGGCTATAAGGCGCACGTCATTAAATGGTCTGTTTTTGAACTTTTTTCATTGCTCTGTCTGGAATGTTCCACAGTATGACAATAAACAGCTCTACCTTACATTTATTCAATTACACTTGGTTTTATAGCTCAAAAGTACCTAGAAAAACAGGCATTCTGATTGTGAGCGGGGTCACCTCTCCACAGATCTGACCTGTAACTTGATCTGTTTAGTCTCCATGAAGATAGAAAGATTTAATACCGCACCATGAAAAGCCAAAGCAATAACATGTCCATGGAGAAAAACTTTTGATGGACCCTCCACCAGAAAAGTTACACAATGCAACTTTAATTAGACTTCGAGAGACTTTATTGATTCACAAGGGAAATGACTTGGAGTAGCAGTAGCTCACACATCACAATAACGAATAGAAAGACTTAACACACCGGAAGAATAAAAAAGTATACAGATGAAATAATAACTGTAAAACATAATACAGAACAATTCAAAGAAAGAAAGAATATGGGTTAAAATTACATTCAGTATGTATTGTATGTAATTTATTTTGCTTTATATAAATATTTGTAATGTTTTGTGATCAATGTAGGCCTACATAAGCAACCACACAACTTTTGAAATGATGTGAAAACCCGGAGTGGGTGTATATAAATTTTCTTCTTCCCACTCCTTTTCGAGAAATGTGCTTTTCTTTGATTTACAATATACATGTGGTTTGTGTATGATTATTGTTTCTCACTCGGCACAAACTCAAAATAAAAACAGATCAGTCAATCAATCAAACAGACCTACTGATCTCTCCACTATTTTGAATCTGAAAGCAGTCTGTCAGATTTACTCTTTGGTTCTTGTGGCTGCAGGTGTTGCGCTTAATGGCGGTGAGGAACGGTAACCATGTCAAAAACCTGGTGCTGCGGCGGGTGGGAGCGGGCCCCAGTGGAGTCCCCTCTGTGGGGGTACGGCAGCTGATCCTCCACCCCGTGCTCCGCCTCCGGACCCTAGTGCTCATGTATATCTGGTGAGTACCACAATGTAACTGACAGGACAGATACATCATTATATTTAAAAGTGCGTCATGTAACTTTTCTGGTAGAGGGTCCTTCACCTGCTTGTTTCTATGCATATGTCATTTAATGTCATACTGTGAAACATTCCAGGCAAAACAATAACATTTTCCATGGAGAACAGTATTTCTCCACAAGAAAAGTTACGCAATGCACCTTTAAAGACCATATATTATGCTATTTTCTGATCTGTGTTAAATGTTTTTCCATTTCTACTGAACTTAAGGTAAAATGTATCTCTTAAATTGAAAACTACCACCACATGACATTACAAAGTGGAACAGAGCATTTTGAGCTTTGAGGATGCAGACAGACTAATAATCCAGGCTTACTCAAACATGTGTGAATGAAACAAAACACAACTCCAGGTATGTTTTTGTATTTGTATTGATTTATTAAAGGGACAATTCATATTAAAAGACAAGATAATGAAGAGACAAACATGGACTTGTAAATATGCAGGATTATAGCCAAAGCTCATTTCCATCCCTAGTCCCCTACTGGACCAAGACCAACTGCATGAGTCACACAAGTCATAAAACATGACAAAAGCCAACAACACCCACTCCCACATGCATCTCTCACTCATACACTTTGAAACACACTCGTACGATGTGAGTATTAAAATATACAGCTCAGACTTAGATTCTCAATACTTCCACATGCACATCATTAACATCTTTTTACAGATCTATATTCAAATCTGATTGCAGTTCCCGGCTCATGTGCAAAACGTGCTGATTAAGTTCAGTTGTGTGGATAGATGTGATTGCCCAATAGCCATGATTTAAGTTGATCAGAGAAGGAGCTGAGTGTAGCAGCTTACGTACAGTCACTGGGATGGTTTTCCAGGTTTGAGAGGTGTAGAAAGAGAATACAGCCTGTCCAAAAACACTTTTCCTTGATGGTTTTATACAATCACCTCTGGAGCTGCTTTTGTTGATCTGTTCAGATTTTTTTTAACACATTCTTGTAGTTGAACAGGGGCCAGACCATGTAAATTTTTGTAATTTTTGTCTGCAAGTTTAATCATGTTCTCCCAGCCTAAAACCTTGTGTCTCTTCAAAATAATGCAGTGATGGTGGGTCTTTGCTTTTTTTTTTTGTCTAAAGTTTTAAGAGTTTGTTTATGTACTGTTTGAATAGATTTCAGAGTGGTCTTACATGCTGAGGCCCAGCTTGTCATGCAGAGTGTCAAATGAAAAACAATCATTATATTAAAATAAAGTGTTAAATGGTCTCAGATTGTGTTTGAAATTAGACAAAGACGTAACGGCATTATAACATGGCTGGTCTGTTTTGTGTAATATCGGCCCTGGACCTTGTGTAACAAATCAACGTTTTTTTGTATATATAGTGTTTTAATTGCACCGTCAACTACTCCTTGTCCCTGTATGTCAATTCTAGTCCAAACAAGTTAAATTAGCATCTTGTACCTGTTTGTACCTGTTTGATAATTCACCCTGTTCCTTTTACCTCCAGACCCCGCCCTTTCTGCGGTTCATCTTAAATTAGCAGCTTAGTTTGAAATGTGGTTGTGGTCGGAGTTTAGGTCTTGACAAATTTGTTCTATTTACTTTCTGTTTAGACACAGACAGCAGATATGACACACACACATACAGAGGTAATTCTCAAACTGTTACCCAGCAGCCATCATGTCAACACAATTCCTTTATACACTATTTTCTAATCTGTTATAATGTTTCCTCATAACAAACAGACCTAGAGTTGTGTTTTATTGTTTCATTCGCACGTTTAACACACAAACCCTGCAGATTTAGACCGAGCTTTTCTCTCAAACGGAAAACACTCTGTTCCTTCTTGTGATGTCATGTGCTCATACAGGAAGTGCTCCACTGTGTTTTTTAGACTCCACACACCTTCACTGGAATGACATTTTGAGTTTTGCAGATGTAAACAGACAGATGCCAGTATTATACACACTGTACACTGTTGCTAATGGGAAAATGCTAACACAAGATCCCATGAGACTAGTTTCCAGGTTAGGTGACGGTGAGTTACATCTCTAGAGAGGCTACAGTTCCCAAAAGCGGTACAACAATGAAAGAACAAACAATCAATTAAAGCAGACCTGTTATACAAAAGCAACTTTACAGAACTTCGGCCATGTTATAACCGTTACTTTTTCTCATTTCCCCTCTTGAATTTGTGTTTAGAGCGATCCATGCATGTTTGAGTCATCTTTAATCTATTGTATCTTTAGACTGCAGATATGCTTTACAAGTATATGAAAGCCAGTAGTTTGTGAAACCACTGCAACACCCACAGTCATACTTCACACACTGGCCCCATGGGAAATCTGCATTCTTGAAAAATAACAAGGCAAACAACAAACGGAAGGACAAAAGGAAGTGTGCTAAACTGAAGTCATCTATGATTCAGGTTTTCTTTCAAGATAAATAAAGTGTTACCTCTCTCTCTATCTCTCTCTCTGTCTCTATCTCCATATCTCTCTTTGTCTGTATCTCTCTGTGTCTGTCTGTCTCTCTATCTGTCTGTCCGTCTGTCTCTCTCTCTGTCTGTCTGTCTGTCTGTCTATTTCTGTCTCTTTCTGTCAGTTTGTCTTTCTCTGATTGTCTGTCTCTCTATCTCTGTTTGTCTATCTCTGTTTATCTTTCTATCTCTGTTTGTCTGTCTCTGTTTATCTCTCTATCTCTGTTTGTCTGTCTCTCTATCTCTTTCTCTCTATCTTTGTTTGTCTCTCTATCTGTCTGTCTCTCTCTCTCTGTGTCTCTCTCTCTGTCTGTCACTCTCTGTCTATCTGTCTCTCTCTGTCTCTCTCTCTGTCTGCCAGTCTGTCTCTATTTCTGTCTGTCTCTCTCTCTGTCTGTCGCTGTCTCTCTGTCTATCTGTCTCTCTCTCTGTCTGCCAGTCTGTCTCTATTTCTGTCTGTTGCTCTCTCTCTGTTTCTATTTCTCTCTGTCTCTCTCTTTGTCTGCCTGTCTGTCTCTCTCTCTGTCTCTATTTCTGTCTCTCTCTCTGTCTGCCTGTGATCAGTCCGAGTGCTCAAGGTCCTGCTCAGGAGTTTGATTTTCAACAGAACAGAGGAGTGACTAACTGAAACTGTTGGTTAATGCATAGCTGGCTTGTGATTGTAATTTTTACATGTGAGAGACTTGTTTAACCTCACAAAACAGTGTGACTAAATGTGTATAAATTCAGCTTGTTGTCATAAACATGTGTGAATGAAACACAAACCGAGGTCTGTTTGTGATGAGGAAACTACAGTCCCTGACAAAAGTCTTGTCGCTTATCCATTTTGTAGAAACAGAAGCTTATAACCTGACTTTAAATTAATCGATTGGTTTTAGAAATGTCTCATATGAAGCTAAAACCCTCCCAAATTATGCTCAATATACTAAAATAAATTTGCTTCACTGAAGAAAGATTGATCATTCAATGAACACAGAAAGGTCAGATTTTGGCAAGACAAAAGTCTTGTCGCCTTGTCATATGATGCTCCCAATCCTAGATTACAGCCTCACCTGTGATTAGTTACTGATTAATCAATTAGTGGGTGTGTATAAAAAGAAGCCCAGCACACCAGACCTTCACATCAACTGCAACTTGACCTCTGACAACATGCCTAAGATCCACCCTGAGACCAAAGTGTTAATTATCAAGAGGCTGAAGACCAGATCCACTGCTGAGGTGGTTGACACCTTCAATGTGTCTCAGCGTCAAGTACAAAGAATAAGAAAAAGATCTGAAATGACTAGAGATGTTTTGACAAGCCCAGGTCCGGCAGACCCCGCAAGACAACTGCTCGGGAGGACCGTTTGTTGATTCGAAAATCCAAGGCCCCTTTTCCACTGCAGCAGAGCTTCACCAGGCCTGGTCACCTCAAGTCCCTGTGTCAACCACAACAGTTTGTAGAATTCTGTCTCGAAATGGCCTCCATGATCGAATCAGTGCACAGAAACCAGCACTAAACAAAAGGCAATTAAAAAAAACGTGTGGCATTTGCCAAGGCCCACAGCCTGCTAAAAGGATGGACACTGGAAAAGTGGCAGAAGGTGGATTTCTCAGATGAATCCTCAGTTGATTTACATCACAGATGCCGCAAATATTGCAGGAGACCTACTGGAGCCACATGGATCCAAGATTCACCCAGAAAACAGTTAAGTTTGGTGGCGGAAAAATCATGGTCTGGGGTTACATCCAGTATGGGGAGTGTGCGAGACATTTGCAGGGTGGAAGACAATATCAATAGCCTAAAATATCAAGAAGTATTAGCTCCTCTTACATTCCCAACCATAAAAGGGGTAAAATTTTGCAGCAGGATGGTGCTCCATCACATACTTCTATCTCTACATCAAAGTTTCTCAAGGCGAAGAAGATCAAGGTGCTCCAGGACTGGCCAGCCCAGTCACCAGACATGAACATCACTGAGCATGTCTGGGGTAGAATGAAAGAGGAAGCATGGAAGGCAAAACCAAAGAATCTTGATGAACTCTGGGAGGCATGTAAGACGCTTTCTTTGCTATTCCTAATGACTTCATCAACAAATTGTATGAATCATTGTTGAACCGCATGGATGCGTCCTTCAAGCTCATGGAAGTCATACAAGATATTAAATCTGGATCTCACACCACCACTACTTCATTCACTGATGTTATGCAACATATTTTTGTATTTGAAGTAAATTATTTGTTCAGTTTTCTGTAGGCGACAAGACTTTTGTCTTGCCAAAATCTGACCTTTCTGTGTTCATTAAATGATCAATCTTTCTTCAGTGAAGCAAATTTATTTTAGTATATTGAGCATAATTTGGGAGGGTTTTAGCTTTCATATGAGACATTTCTAAAACCAATCGATTAATTTAAAGTCAGGTTATAAGCTTTTGTTTCTACAAAATGGATAAGCGACAAGACTTTTGTCAGGGACTGTACATTCTAACATAGATGAGGAAATGGTGTGATATAGGTCATTCAAGGTTTTGTTTTCCTTTAAAATAAAGCTGTATTACACTGAGATGAGGAAGTGTAGCTGCAGTGTGTGTGAGTACTCCTGGGTGTGTGGCTGCTTTTCTTAATCAGATCAATGAGAGTTTGAGCAGAGGAGTATTTTAAGCTGATCCCTTCTCCGCTCCGGAAGGTTCCACTAAAAGGCTTAAGCTTGGTCAGCAGCCTCCACACCAGAGCCTGACTTGATGGTTTTCAGGTTGTAAAATGTGATGAAGTTATACTTCTTAATGATTCCTTCAATCAAAGCAAGTCATCCAGGTCCTGAAGCAACAAAGCAAAGCAAAACATGACACTACCACCACGTTTCACTTGGCATGATGTTCTTTTTATCAAATGCTCTGTTCATTTTACACCAGATGTAACGGGATGCACTCCTTCCAAAAAAATTCAACTTTTGTTTCATCAGTTCACAGAATATTCTCCCAAAAGCTTTGGGGATCATCGAGATGTTTTTTTTGGCAAGTGAGACGAGTCTTTATCTTCTCTTTTGTCAGCAGTGGCTTTTGTCTTGGAACTTTGCCAGTCATGACATTTTTGCCTAGTCTCTTTCTTTGAGCCATGAACACTGGCCTTTACTGAGACAAGTGAGGCCTGCAGTTGTTTAGATGTTGATGACCTCTTGGATCAGTCATTGCTTTGCTCTTGGGGTAATTTTTGTAGGCTGGAGATTCCTGGGAAGGTTCACCACTGTACCATGCTTTCTCCATTTGTAGAAAATAGCTCTCACCACAGTTCGCTCGAGTCCTAAAGATTTAGAAATGGCTTTTTTTTCTTTTATCTGCTCCTGAATTTCTTTGGATCATGGCATGATGTCTTGGATTCAATATGGGCTGCTTCACCTTGTCAGACAGGTTCTATTTAAGTGATCTCTTGATTTGCATGAAGTCTGGGTGTGGCTATGAAATTGCACTCAGAAAAAAATAAAAAAACACCAGGATCATGCAGAGCGGGTTAATACAAACATTTTAAGACCAAAATGAGGAGCCTGAGAGATGGGCGATGCTTTTTCAGTATAAAATGAATTGGAGTCTATAGAGCCAGAGCGCACTCATGCTCATTTATATATACAGTCTATAAGTTCACATGCATCCTGCTTGGAGTCCAGTTTCATCCTGATGTCAGAGGTTCAAAATAATGCAGAAATGGACTGTAAAATAAACCACAAAAATGCAAAAATATCCCTTTATACAGTTATTAGAAAGACTGCACGGTTTCAAATTTCTTACCATTATAATTTTAGCTCTTTTTGCAGCCATTACATTTTTATTTTTGTTTAAGTATGTGCTTTGATTTAAATAAAGTGGCTATACCTGTTTTTCCCCATGTATTTAAGCAGATATATTGTTTAAGCAGCTCTTCATCAAAATAAGTCCACTGTGTTCAGACTACTAACATGCTTGTTATTGCTTTGGTCTCTTAAAGTTGTGATAAGCACTTACAAACTCATTGAGGTGAATAATTAGGATGTTCTGAATGCATAAAGTAAGTGAGGAATAACTTTGGGCAACTGTTTAAGTCTGTTTTTCAGACAGTAAAAATCAGGTAGTGTCTTTAATATATTTTTAATACGCATAAAACAAAACAATAATTGCAGTATTTTCATTTTTATATAGCTCTCTCTTTGTAGACTGGTTGTAATGTAGTCCTGGTTTAGTTCTGATCTTGTTCACATGGTTTAGTTTGTGTTTTAGTTCAATATGTGTGTGTGTGTGTGTGTGTGTGCATATTATAAGAGTAAATGTGATCGCAGAAAAAAATCCGTTGAACTGTGACTAACTCTTTCTATAACTATGCTATTTATAGGTCAAGTTTTGTTTCGTTTGGCCCACATGCGGTTTGAGACAGTTCAGTCCAAATGAGTACCCTTGCATTTTGCGCTTAAACATCAGGAAGGCAGGAAGTCACAAGATGTTATTCAAATTCACGATTCTGAAGAAAACCAAAGGAGTTGTGTTTTGTTTCATTGTCACGTCTGAGTAACCCTTTATTATTAGTTTGTCTATACCCCCAAAGCTTAAAATGCTCTGTTCCACCTTATGACCAATAGTTCAGTAGAGACTGGCAATTCTAGACCCTAGTAAAGGTTTAAAGGAAGGAAGAAGAGTTTAAGAACACAGTGGAGCACTTCCTGTATTACCCCATGACATAACAAGGTGGAACAGAGTGTTTTCTGTTTGAAAGAAGGACACCTAAATATGCAGGATTTGTGTGTTAAACATGTGTGAATGAAACAAAACACAATTTCAGGTCTGTTTGTGATAGGGAAACATTAAAATTTAGACCAGAAAATAGTGTAATCCTGGCCCTTTAATATAAACCTCCCTATTAGAGATGGGCAGATTACTGAAACATAGAGAATATTGTGAATGTTTTTTTTGAAAATATACTAGGAATGTAACAATAACTGAAATATCATGATATCTTATTGTCAGAGTAATAATATCATGGACCCTCTCAATATATCGAATTACAAGTGTCTTTGCTTAAATTAAAGCTTAAAAAAACGACAGAGGGAACTACATAGACCATGATCCTTTCCTCCATTTCAGTGTAGACTACATGAAGAAATAACAATTCTAAGCACTTTTAAGTCTTAGTTCTTATGTCTTATTACGTCTTGTCAAAGCATTTTAAGAGGAAAAGGTAGCATATTCATAGTTTTGTTTGCCTCTACAAAATATTGCAATAAATATCGTACCGTGAGATGTATATCGTGAAAATATCGTACCGGGAGATTTGGATATTGTTACATCCCTAATCGTGAGCCTCCCCACCATATCGTGAGTTTTCCCACAATATCACAATAAATATTGTACCGTGAGGTTCATACCGTGACGATATCGTATCATGACACTTGGATATCGTTACACCCCTAAAATATATAGTGTATGACAATTGAATATTGCATTGTTTAATTAAAAATGCTGCACAGAAAGTTAATTAAAAACAAAAATGCATGTCTGGACACCGTTGCTATATGCCTGTCATATTAATACACATGGGAGCAACTGAAATGATTATTGTTAAAATGCAGATCAGGTTCAACATTTGTGAATTTACCTTTGGGATATTATGGTAAAGTAAAATGTAATCAGTTGATACTTTGGAGCTGATGTCATCAACATTCCCTGGGAGTGTGGAGCTAACTGGAACCACTGCTCTGTCTCAAACTGTTACTCAAGTTAGAATGAATCCTTCCTGTGCTTCCTGTGCTGTTAAACAAGACTCTCACGAGAAAAAAAAAATTGTCCAAACTGGGAGAGAAACTATAAAATCTTAAACATAATGGTCTTCAGTGTTTTAGTAAAATGACTAGTCTAACCTGTCAAAGGCACTTTAAAGGTTTCCACTCTAAGCACAGGAGGTCATGTAGCTTTGTGTAATATCATCACTTACTGTACTTACTGTAAACAATGGCAAGTGACACATTTAAAGCGCCTTTGACATGTTAGAATAATCTCTTAAATAAAACACACTTTACATTGTTATGTTTAAGAGTTTATAAAACATTTTACTTTTTCTCCCCAAGTTTGGCCATTTTGGTTGACATTTTACTTCCTGCTCTGAAATCATGACATCAAAGTAGTGAATTGTGCAGACAGAATTATTATCTGCCAAATTAAATGACCAGAAAACACTTTTATGTTGTTGAAATAATATTTAAAGGTGGAGGGTCTGTCAAATGCTTGTCTCCATGGAGATGTTATTGCTTTGTCTGGAATGTTTCACAATGTGGTATTAAACCTTTCTATCTTTATGGCGACCAAACCAGACCAAGTTACAGGTCAGATCTGTGGAGAGGCAACCCCGCTCACAGTCAGAATCCGTTTTTCTAGGTATTTTTGATCTATAAAACCACCTGTAATTGAGTAAATGTAAAGTAGAGCTGTTTAATGTCATACTGTGGAACATTCCAGGCAGAGCAATGACATATCCATAGAAACAAGCAGGTGGCGAACCCCTGAACCAAAAAGTTACATTATGCACTTATAAAGTATCAGAAAAAAATAGTTTCTTGTGGGTAAACTGGGCCAACCTCTCAAACAGAATTCTTTACTTCCTGTTTTTCAACTTTTCTTCTGAAACTGCTTCTTGATTTATGTAAAACTATAATTTATATAATACAGATACTATTCCACCAACTCGAGTAGAGCTTAGAGAATTGTCATACACACTGCTACTTGGCTCCACAAACTTGATAAATAAAGTTACATACTTTTATTTGGGGGAAAAAAAGCATCTATATAAGTAAAGAATGTCTGTGTTTTGTCCTCGTAGGTACGCCTGCAGCCTGGTGTATTACGGTTTGACGCTGGGTGCTGGAGAGACTTCAGGAAATCGCTTTGTCAATGTGGCTATGTACGGCCTGGTAGAGCTGCCCGCATACCCGCTCTGCATTTACTTCATCAACAAACACTGGTGAGAACTGAGAAGCGCATGTACACTTAAAGGAACAGTGCGTCACGTTCTGAAGGTGGCACGTCAGCTGAACAATTCTATGGAAAAAGAAAATCATCATTTCAAGTAAACAAGTAACAAGTAAAGTAGTACAAATGTATAAATGAAAACAAAACTGTACAAACAAGGATATTTTTAGCTTTTTAATCCCCAGAAAGTATGCCTTAATGTGTAAAATCATTTATGTATTTACACCTTTATATTTTTTAGTCACCATTTAATTTAATACTTTCTAACTTTTTTCTTTTATTTACTTATTTATTTCTAATTATGTAATTTTTGGTCCTCCATTAAAAAAGTGACATTCTGTGCAATTTTTCAGTTGAATTATACTTAACATTGCAAAATGTGTATACATATAGATAGGTTAAAATGACTTGAATTTAGAATATTAATATTGATGTTTTTTAGATAATTTACTTTAAAGGTGCAATGTGTAACTTTTCTAGTGGAGGGCCAGTCAAATGCTTGTCTCCGTGGAGATGTTATTGCTTTGTCTGGAATGTTCCACTGTTATGACATTAAACAGATCTAGCTTACATTTATTCAATCACAGGTGGTTTTACAGCTCAGAAAGACAAACAAGTCACATACCACAAAAACAAGTATTCTGACTGTGAGCGGGGTCGCCTCTCCACAGATCTGACCTGTAACTTGGTCTGGTTTGGTCTAAATAAAGATAGAAAGCTTTAAAACTTTGACAGCGTGAAACATTCCAAACAAAGCAATAACATATCCTTAGAGAAAAGTGTTTAATGGACCCCCCACCAGAAAAGTTACACAACACATCCTTAAGTATTACGTTATTTGTTGATGTTTGTATTTACATTTTTCTGATACCTTTTAAAATATTTTAATGTGAAGTTTAATCTTGATTCAGGTCAGAATCATAGATACTGATAACTTTTGGGTTGATTTTGGTAATGTCAAAATTTCTCCTCTTTTACTGAAATTACTTACTTCTTCCCCAAAGCTGTCACCATACTAAATGAGAACTGTTAATTTGTTTTATTTATTATTTATTCTTGCACTTGATGGAGCAGCTCTGGCTAATGACAATAAAGGCTATCTATATTCTATTCTATTCTATTCTTGAAAATGTATTGCCATCATTATTCTCACAGTTAAAAACATTAGGATTTTAGTGTTATGTTGTTCCCTTATCAAAAAAAAGACCTGGAATTGTGTTTTGTTTCATTCACACATGTTTGAGTAACATTTTATTATTCGTCTGTCTACATCTCCAAAGCACAAAATGCTCTGTTCCACCTTGTGATGTCATGAAGCAGCAGTTTTCAAGTTAACAGCTTTTACCTTTAGCTCAGTACAGTATCCAAATGATTCTAGTGAAGGTTTATGGAGTTTAAAAACACACTGAAGCGCTTCCTGTTTTCCCACATGACATTACAAGGTGGAACAGAAGAGTGTTTTCTGAGAGAGAAAAACTCAGCCTAAATCTGCAGGGTTTGTGTGTTAAACATGTGTGAATGGAACCAAACACAACCCCAGGGCTGTTTTTAATGATGCAACCAATTCATAACAGATCAGAAAATAGTGTAATACAATGCAAGTTAAGTTTTGATTTTGTTTGTTTTGCCTCCATTTTACAAACCACACCCCTATGGCCATTCCAGTTTTCATTTCTTTTCATTACAGCCATTTAATGTCAACGGATGAGTCTACAGATTGTGTGGATGGTGTAAAATTCCCTGTTGTAACCTGATCTTTGGGCAAATGGAGAGGAGTAACTGTTTATTCCATTACAGGGCTGGGAGGAGGAAGAGCATGGCTGGATTCTTGGGTCTGGCTGGTTCGGCCTGTCTGCTCACCATGTTTATCCCTCAAAACACAGGTCAGACCCACACAAAAATACAATAAAATTCCAATATTACGCTTTTTTCTTATCCACACACCTTCACTAGAATCACTTTGATCATTTCAGTTCTGGAATTGTCAATCTCTACTGAAAAGTAAAAGGAGCTGTTAACTCGAAAACATCATAAGGTGGAACAGAGCATTTTGAGCTTTGGAGATGACTCTTGTGAACTTTTACCATGTTATAATGTTGTTACTTCATCAAAAACATACCCAGGGTTGTGTTTTGTTTCATTCCCACATCTTATATTATTAGTGTGTCTACATCTCCAAAGCTCAAAATGTTCCACCCTATGATGTCATATAGTATAGTATAATTTGATAAGTTTACAGCTCCTTTTACCTCTAGTTCAGCAGAGATTCGCAATTCCAGGGCTGAAATGATTCAAATGATTCTCGTGAAGGTGCATGGAGTTTAAAAACACAGTGGAGCACTTCTTGTGTCAATGCGGAACAAAGTGTTTTCTGTTTGGGAGAAGAACTTCGGTGTTCTGTGTGTGTTTTTATAATTTCTTCTTCATTAGATTTTTGTTTTCTTTGCAGACAAGAGACAAAAACTAAATAAAATGCAAATTACAGTACAAAATACACACAAAAATGTGACTTAAAATCAGAAAAGGAATGGAGTAAAAAGGCTGCGTTATTCCATTTCCTCAGATGCATTGTGCAGTCCACCCTCTCTCTGACCAACCTTCTGTGTTTGCACATTCTGAAAATTATCTAAACCTGAAAACATGTTGAGAATGTGGGGACGAGGTTGGCAGGGCAAGTATCTGGTCTTAAGAAACCCCAAATGATTCAATTCACTTTGAGCAGTCACAGAATAAAGGAGTTCTTCAGTATTATTTATTGGGGATGTCACTGATAATTCTCTCTCTCCAAAGGGCTCATATTACACTAGAGTTGTGCTTTGTTCCTTCACACATGTTGAACACCCAAACCTTGCATTTAGGCCAAGTTCTTCTCTCAGACTCCACCTTGTGATGTCATGTGGTAATATAGGGTGTGCTTCACTGTGGTTTTAAACTCCGCAGACCTTCTTCAGAATCGTTTGGGTCATTTCAGATCTGGAAATTCCAATCTCTACTTTACTAAAGGTGCTGAACTGAAGGAACTGAAAGGTACAACTACATGACATCACAGGGTGGAACAGAGCACTGCGAGCTCTGGGGATGTAGACAGACTAGTAATGCAGGGCTACTTAAACATGTGTGAAACAAAACACAACTTCAGGTCTGTTTTTGATGAGGACAACATTCTAACATGGCTTAAAGTTTACAGGACTGACTTTATTTCTTCTAGCTGAGAAAAAAACAACAAAAACAAAACAGCTTTTACAAAAATGAAGAGCAGTGTTTTGTAAAAGCTGTGGAAAAAGAAGAGAGTGAAGGATATTGCGCCATGTTTACAAAGCCTTCTAACTTTACAAAATTTTTGGCGATCACAAAATATTTGCTTAACTGAATGTTTTTTCTGGTAGAGCAGTTAGGAGCACTGTTTTAGAATATTATTACTCTGATCATACAACAAAAAATTCTAAATCCCTCATGATTGTAAGTTATATATTTTCTTGAATTATTTCTTTTAGAATATTACTCTATGATCCAGTAACATATTTTCTTTTCTAGAGGTGTGATCTATTTGCTCTAACCTCTCTGTCACAATCCCTGACTTCCCCATTCACTCTCTCTCTCTCCCTGGTGCTTTCACATGTAGTAATGCCAACCCCATATATGCCCATATATGGAAGTTTAGAGGGTGTTTCTTCTTAAAAACACATTTAAATTTGTATGTAAATGAGTGGTGGTGTTCGTAGCTTGATGTTGGTAAATTAGGCACAGCTCGCATTTAAATGTGCATTGTGTAACTTTGAGTCAACTTTTTGAGGTAGAGGGTCTGCCACCTGCTTGTCTCCATGGAGATGATATTACTTTGTCTGAAATGTTTCACGGTGTGGCAGTAAACTTTTCTGTTTTCCACTCATTCAATTATGGGTGTTTTTAGTGGCAACTTTTTGCTTTTTTCCTTGGAGATAATAGACTCTGTTCACTCTTATGCCACAAACCAGAAATAATTCAGTGGTGACGGAGGTTGAAAGGGTGGGTGGCTCTCTTGTTGTACAGTGGTGTGACTTGGTGTAGCATGTGACAGCTGTACAGATGGTGAAGTAGGCTGACTTCTTGGCACAAAATGCCCTGATATTTTTTGCCTGCTTTTTTCCATCTTTATCTCATTACTGTATCAGGGTAGCTGCGGGGTTTTAAAGTCTTAAAAAAGGTCTTAAATTTCATGTTCTTAAATTAAGGCCTTAAAAAGTCTTATTTTTTCACTTAGGTCTTAAATTTCATTAGCCTATTTTTTTGTATACTCAACCAGGTTGCTGTGCAATGTTAAATGGATTGAAGAAAAAACAACAACAACGTGAGCAATGAGTAAAAAAATCAGTAGAGTGGAGGAAGATGTTAGATGGATCATGGGGAAGTGTAGATTTAATTCACAGTGACTCTTAGATTCTAGTAGTTGGTTGGTCATTATTTGAATTGGATCTGGTGTTTTTCGCCCGCAGAATGGGTGCGATGTTGGTTTTAAATTTTCATTTAAGTGGTCTTAAAAAGTCTTTAAAAAGTCTTAAAATTGGGGTAGTCAAACCTGGGGATGTCCTGTGTATACTAGAGAAAACCACATGTAAATGCCAAACATGCAAACACATCGGCAGCAAAATATAGTATCTTATAGTATCTTAAGAAACAAAATATATGGGCAAGCAGTTGGTAGGACACTTAGTTCAAATGCTTCAAAGTTTAGATGAACAATTATAATTAAATATTTTACCTTCATGTGTCCATCGCATGACGACCACAGGTATGTTATCCAGCCATCCGGATAATTAGCTTCTCTTCCGATAAAAATGATGATAGATGATAGATGGCGCCGTAACATATTTAACCAATAGATGCCGCTATTCAGCCTCATCACAGTGCGGCCTCATTGTCTATGCATGTGAGGATGCTGTGTTGTTTTTTTTCCGGAGGGATGTAGTCAAGGTGGGGGCCCTAACTATAAAGCGCTATGGGAAACACTGCATTTGGAAACATGAAAACGTGATCAAACCCACTGAAGTAAATGTGATCAGTGGTAAAATGAAGACTGCAGACATATGTGCTGTTTGAAATCATCTTGAATTTGTCACCATCATCTCTTCTAATCGCTCGGAGTTGCGTGTCAGTGGGGAAATGATGAAAATTGAGGTATGATTGGAATTATGGCTGGGTATCATTAAGAAGTTGCCGATACGATACATACCTCGATACACAGGCCACTATACTATACATATCTCGATACAGTGCACTTTCGATTCGATATGATATATTTCAAATCGATTCGATACAGTTCAATAAAAAAAGGCTAAATCATGGCTGTGATACTAAAAGTGTTTGTTAAACCACTTCTTGTGCAAAGTTCATATGAAACACAAACATTTAAATCCTCACAACAATGTCAAAATGTCAAATGTGTTGCATAAATGAGCTTCCTTTCTCTCCACAAGCAACAAAACTGTAGCTCTGTAACAAAATAATTTAGTAAAACACGTAAAAATACTCTTGGTGATATATCGATACAGCAGCCCACGATATCGATACTGTATCATCACATTAAACGATACGATATATCGATATTCCGATATTTTTGCACACCCCTAGTTGTAATTGTTGATTAGGCGAACATAACAGAACGCTACGATGACATGGAGATGAAGAAAATTGGGACATTTTTCCTAGATTTTGTCAGACTTACTACCGCAAACAGAGCCTGCCAGAAATTGCCGTCGCATGTTTCCAAAAATCTTTCTGGTTTGTGACGTAAGCGTGAATAGAGCCTATGAAGTTTAATGCCATACTGTGAAACATTCCAAGCAAAGCAATTACATCATCATGAAGGTATACAAGAAAAGTTACATATTGCACCTTTTAAGAAGAAATTTGAGTGCTTCAGAATGCTTTGTCAATCCAACGCAGAGTTCAGCTGCCAGAGAGTGACGGTTTTATCTAGTTAGAGACTTTGTTGGGTGAGAACTGTGGTGAAACAAAAGCTGTCTCTATTCCAGCGACTTATTGGGCGGGGATAAGGATTACTTAAAATGGGACTAAACGCCTAAACTCCGCCCACACAATCACATTGCAAACAGCTGTTAAACTGGGCAGTACCTGGAGGACTAAAGGGGAGAGTGAGGGGGAGGAGGGGGCGGGGTCTGGAGGACTAAAGGGGAGAGTGAGATAGGGATGAGGGTCGGGGTCTGGAGGACTAAAGGGGAGAGTGAGGTAGGGATGAGGGGCGGGGTCTGGAGGACTAAAGGGGAGAGTGAGGTAGGGTTAAGGGGCGGGGTCTAGTGAACTAAAGGGGTGAGTGAGGGAGGAAGAGGGAGGACTAAAGGGGAGAGTGAGGGAGGTAGGAGGTGCGGGGACTGGAGGACTAAAGGGGAGAGTGAGGGGGAGGAAGAGGTCTGTAGGACTAAAGGGGAGCGTGAGGAAGGAGGAGGGGCAGGGTCTGGTGGACTAAAGGGGAGACAGGGAGGAGGAAAAGGAGCGGGGTCTAGTGGACTAAAGGGGAGAGAGGGAGGAAAAGGGACGGGGTCTGGAGGACTAAAGGGGAGAGTCAGGCAGGAAAAAGGGTGGGGTCTAGTGAACTAAAGGGGTGAGTGCAGGAGGAAGAGGGAGGACTAAAGGGGAGAGTGAAGGAGGTAGGAGGTGCGGGGACTAGAGAACTAAAGGGGAGAGTGAGGGGGGAGGAAGGGGTCTGTAGAACTAAAGGGGTGGGGTCTAGTGAACTAAAGGGGTGAGTGAGGGAGGAAGAGGGAGGACTAAAGGGGAGAGTGAGGGAGATAGGAGGTGCGGGGACTGGAGGACTAAAGGGGAGAGTGAGGGAGGTAGAAGGTGCAGGGACTGTAGGACTAAAGGGGAGAGTGAGGGGTGAGGAGGGGCAAGGTCTGGAGGACTTAAAAAGTGTAGAAAAATGACTAGAGAAAGTAGCTAATGCTATTAAAACACCATATACACAGTTTAGTAGTGCAAAGTTTTTAGTTCCAATTAAATTCAGAAACAGGACCTTTCATTTGTCACATTTTTCAGTCTATAACATATTCACATTGCACATTGTGTCCTTAGGCAAGACACCTCCCCCTTATACAGGCTCCAAAGGCATCTCTGTAGAACTCATAATATATATTGTGATGTATCTGTTCTAACTACATGTTTCTATTTTAGAGATGCTTTTGAACGTGACCTCTTTGGCGCTGTTGGGCAAACTCATGGTGAGCGCCGCCTTCAACATCACCTATGTGTACACGGCAGAGCTCTACCCAACAGTTATCAGGTAAACGGTTATTATTTTTAATCAGTGTAAAAAGTATTGCTTAAAACGTTGTGTTACTCATATATTTAAAAATGCATTGTGTAACTTTTCTGCAGGGGGTCCGCAACCTGTTTGTTCCATTGAGATGTAAATGCTTTGGTTTAAATTGTCCACAGTATGGCATTAAACTAATCTGTCTTGCATTTAGTCATCTACAGGTATCATTTATGGCTCACGATATCTTTAAAAACGTCCATTGTTACTGTGAGTGGGGTCGCTTCTCCACAGATCTAACCTGTAATTTGGCTTGCAAGTCTTCATGGATATACTTACATTTAAGGCAAGCAGGTGACGGACCCCCCAGCAGACAAATTACAGAGTGCATCTTTAAAGGCGTTGTACTTGGTTTTTACTGTGCTTTTACTGTTCAGCACTTTTATAATACATTCTTAGCATCCTAACTTTTCACTGGGATAAGTTTCTAAGCACTTTTCACAGTCCAGAATGGAGTTTTTACCATCACGGTAATGCTAGCAACAACTAGCATGCTAACTGCGCATCAGCCTTACTTCCTGCTTCCCTAACAATAAAAATGCATTATAATTACATACAGACAGCACACAGCGGTCTCATTTTAACCATAAGAGCTGCAACTTTTTACAACTGTACTGTCTCTAGTACTGTCTGGGATAGTCCATCAGTTGTTTCCAAGTGGTCCTCATATACCAAAGTCTCTGAATGGATAACACCATTTCTCCTTATTTTCTTATGGTTCTTCTAAAACCGTTTACAAGTTACAGCAAAACAATGCAAGTCCAAAATACAAGTTATTCTCAGTTGATTACAATTTTAGTTAGTTTTTAAATTAGGGATGGGCATGATTTGATAATTGATCATTAAGAATTTCATCGATTATGTTCATTTTTAATCGACAAACCGAATGTAAGTTGCTGTGCGTAGCCTAGGGTGACCAAATGTCCGTGTCCGGGGACAAACGGGGCTCCAGACATGTAGCAGAAGGAGCGAGCAGACACAAACAGTCGATCAGTCTGCAACATGCCGAAGCGCAAATGAGTATTTAACGATGACTTGTACAAGAAATTCCACGATTTCCATTCCAGTCGGGACAAGTGCGAGGCCATGTGCACAGCGTACAAAGCAGGCATATATGTTTTGGTCTGCAGTGGGAAAAAGTTCACCAGGACACTGAAAAACATTCAAATGTTTTGCCACATGAGAGTAGCGCAATGTCGATGACGAGGCCCCACCTCCCACCCCCCGTACGGTGTCCTGGTTTTGACAAACACAAATATGGTCACACTAACCTGTATTCCACTGAATTGTGTCCTTTAATCTGACAGAAGTTGAACTGAAGCTGTTTTTTTTTTTTTTTTTTTTTTTTTTCTTTGCTTAGTTTATGCAAATTAGCCATGTGTTTTTAAGTTTTGTTTCTGTGAGAGTTGCACAAAGTTGCATTAAACACATTAAAATCTCAAACGAACTGATGTGGCTCTAGACTGGTTACGATTTATATGTCATAAAGTTGAATTTATTTATGCAGATTAGTAGTGCAGATAGTAATAATAATGATGATAATTTTAATATAAAAACGTTAATGATTAATCAATAATCGATCGTTAATTCTCCCGACAATCGATTAAGAAAATTTAATCGAATGCCCATCCCTATTTTAAATCTAAACTTTTTGGATTTTATTTTTTATTGTTGTTTTTATATGTGATTTTAAACTGGCTGTAGCACTCCAAAATTTGTTTTTCAAATATAAAGTGCAGCGTAAATAAAATCTGTCATTATATTATTATTATGAAATTTAGTGGATGATTATAAGCATTGTGAAATTATTGGATTAAAGGTGTGTTGTGTAACTTTTCTGGTTGGAGGTGCCATCAAATCTATGGATATGTTATTGGTTTGTTTGGAATGTTTCACAGTATGGCATTAAACCTTTCCACCAGTCAAAATGCCTGTTTTTTGAAGTATTTTTGAGCTATAAAACCACCTGTAATTGAATAAATGTAAGGCAGAGCAGTGACAATCCATAGAAACAAACAGGTGATTGACTATCCACCAGAAAAGTTACACAATGCGCCTTTCAGTGAGTGTTAAAATGCCATTCCAAAGCATAACAACTGATTTACTGAAACCTGCTTAAACCTGCGATAATGTCTGTTTCTGTTGTGTTTCAGAAATGCTGGTTTGGGAGTGTGCTCTATGTCGTGTAGATTTGGGGGGATTCTTGCGCCATTTGTCCCCTCTATGGTAAGTTCAACCCAGGGCAAAGCAGAACTATGGTTTCACTTGTGTTTGGCAATTTTTTTTTAAAATGAGGAAGTCCGTTTGCGTCGGCTGAGCAGCTACATTACCATACCCAGAAATAATGCCCTCAAGTGTGTTTTTGCATTGTGAAAATATTAGTCAAACGTTTGTGCAATAGGTGTGGTTCAGAAAGTGGCTCTCAGACTTTTCACACGGAGCACCACCATATAACAGGACTATACAGGTCTAATATAAGACTAAAACCAGTTCTGAATGTGGACTACATCAATCCCACTGTAGTTCTAAAAATAAAAGTTCCTTATTCTTCATTAGAGCCTAGGCAAACCCACGAACTGAAGAGCTCGACCACAGTTTGAGGAACAATGGTTTCAGGTATTTAAATGTATATTTTTTAGCGGAGTCTAATCAGGGAGAAAGTAAAGAGATGTTGCTTATTAGTCTTCTCATGGGAAAGGAGGTAAGATAATACTTCATTTTTGTTTTATATAAAAACAAACAACATTGGATTTCTGTATTACTTTCCTGAACATAAACAATTCAGATTTTTAAGCATCTTTTAACACAAAAGCAATGGCATGTCTTCCTCCAAAGCTTCACATCTGCTTTGGCTCTCCATTAAAAACACCTAAGATGATCAGTGAGGTTTCCAGCTAACTTAAATCTGGTTAAAATTTGACAAACTGAAAAGCCAGATTCCTTATTTTCCAACACCAGCCCCAATAACAGAGGCTTAACCATTTCTAAACCTTTTGTATTTGGCACAGGGAGCAGGTAGGAGGGCTGGGCAAAAAATCCATTAAAGCCATTCGTCAGATTTGATGTTCAGATCCATTTGGGGGAAAAATCTGTTTTTATTTTACTTCCTTGCATTGGAACTTGCATCAAAAATGCATAAAAAGCTGCTCCCTGCAGTCCATGCATTGCTGATTCTCTGAAATCAAATGAAATGTTGGGGCTGCATGTTGAATGCAATAGTTTGTTTTGTCTCATTCATAAAAGATTTCCCCAAAGGTCAAAGGCTAATGGGTTCTTCTCCAGCCAGCCCCTGTAGTGGCAGCACAGAGCCTCAGAACAGAGCAGCAGCAAGGAAGCAGGAAGGAGAGAGGAGGGGCTGTGTGATGACCTGTATGTCAAAGTGTATAATAACAGCTCAGGTCGGGGGTTGATGAGGCTCAGATAAAGATAATACGGTTTATGGGACACCAGTGTCACATTTACTGGAAGTGTGAGCCACAGACTACTGAGGAATTAAAGTTGACTGATTAAATGAATCACACATCACACTTGCTAACAGAATGATTCATAGTTAATGAATATAATAATATATATATATATATATATATACATATACATATATACATATATGCAATGCAATTTCATAGTAATATTAGTCAAATACTTGGAATTAGGGCTATGCATTTCATTGAATTTGAGTAGAGATAGAGCTGATCAGTTTTCATCAGCTGAGGTGTTAATGGAGAGGTCCACTGCCAATCCTCTGTCAGTAAAAACATGTGGTTTGGAGTTCAGACTTTGGAGGAAGAAATTTGACCTTTTTTGATAAATGGTACGGATTTAAATGTAATTGAAAATGGTGATCAATCAATATAAGGTTAAAAAATGGTTATCTTATAGTCCAACATGAAATAACATGTTTCACCAGAGTGAGTGAGTAGAGCTGGGTGTGTCTGGGTTACACTCACACTCTCTATGTCTCTCTGTTTAAAGTAGAGTGGGGGCCAGAGGAGTGTTAATTGAACTAACTGCTTAGAGCCAATCCATTAGTTTTAAACTGCTCCAAATCTGCGCTCAGCTGTGCCACAGGTGCTCTCACCTGAGCTGCTTAGCTTTAGCAAGAAGAGAGGCTAATGTGTAAGCTAGAATGACCCACTAACAAACTATACAACTACACAAGTCTATAATCAGAGTTTTAACCCTTGTATTGTGTTAGAAAGCTACATGCATCTTTAGTGTTACTGGGTCAAATTTGACCTGTGATTTAACTCAGCCTGAAAAATACTTAACAACACTAGATATCATCCAATATTGTTTTTCACCTCATAACTAACTTAGTATGTGTTCATGTCCATGGAAAATTTTTTATTTTTTTTATTTTTTTTTGGCTCCACAGACCTTTTATCTTAAAATATACCACTCGTTTTGATTACAACTGCTTAAATTCACTAATTATATTTCCTATAGTGTTAAAATTTGTAATTATATTATATAATTATACTATAATCATAATTATATTATATATAATACATATAATATAAACATAATTTATATAAGTATAATTATATTGGGTGTCAAGAGGGTTTGGTGACCATGAACTGTCACCTTTTCTTGACTTGAAGACGTCTCTTTCAGTCTTTGTGACATCTGGGTTCTCCTCACCACATGTGTGCTCTTGTTCAGGGTCATACTGAACCTCATCCTCATCCACAGACGTATATATGAATGGACATAACTAACGCTGTAGCCACCATGTTCCAAATAGGAAGTTCTCCAGGAGGCTCTTCCGGCTCCTTCTGACTCTGGCTCCAATTAACTTATGTTAGGATCTTGTCGTCCTTCTCTTTGTACCTGCTGCTGTGAGCCTCATCATTTTCATCTTAAAATATACGTATTAACCTGCGACACATGATCCTGATATTTTTTTTTTTTGGCTGTTTTGTCTGTCCAAAAAATCCTATTCATAACAAATAACCTGGCTCTAGATTCACTCCTGTAACCGTGAGCTTCATTTGAGCGGCGCCAAACGCTGTGGGTGACGTCACACTCACTTAGTCCACTTCTTTTATTCAGTCTATGTCCTCATCCTCATCCTCAGACACATCTTCCTCAGCTTCACTTTCTTCTCTGTCTTCAGAATCACTGTCATGACCAAAGATCTGATCCAGCGCGAACAGTGAACCTGCTCATGTTGACTGATGCTGCAACAGACTGCAGCTGATAATATCTCACTAAAACCCTGTTTATATATGACAATGTTTATTTTAGATTCAAAATGTATCAATGTGCTGCGAGAAAGAGATGAGTTCACGTGGGTGAAGACGACCTTTTTATGTGTGTGTGTGAATATAGATTCTACGAGAAAGTTTGAGTTCACGTGGGGGAGGGGTGGTGAAGGGGGCCGGTGTGTGTGGTGTTTATTCGCGCGCACGTGTGTGTGTGCATGTGTGTTTATGTGTCTGTGTGTGTGTATCTAGTTTCTACGAGAAAGTTTGAGTTCATGTTGTGGAGATGTGGTGAAGGGGGCCTGTGTGTGTGTGTGTGTGTGTGTGTGTGTGTGTGCGCGGGGGGGTTGCATGTGTAGGGGTGCGTGTGTGTGTGTATGTGTGTGTGTGTGTGTGTGTTGTGGGACACACTGAGCCATATTTGATCCACAGAGCAGCCTACAGCTTGTAAGTGATGCATAAAACAGCCACTATTCTCTGCCGGGTCATTTTTGACTCGTAACACCGCAGAGGTCTTTTTTTTTTTTCAGACCTTTACAATTTACTAAAATGTTGAAAATTTATTTTGTTGCGTTAAAATAGTTGTGTCTGAGAATTAGATGAAGCCTCATTCCGATACAAAAAAGCAAATGGTAGTTTTTACATACCTAAACTTGAAAACGGGTCAATTTTGACCCTAACACAATATAAGGGTTAATGTAGAATTTTGAATGTATTTTATTTCATGTATGATTTTTGCACATGAAATAAATGTTGAATTGATAACTTATATATATATATATATATATAATTATTTAAAAAAAATTTTTTTTTACACAGTATTATTAAAGTGCCTATGACAGGGACTCCACTAAAATTTAAGTTACATTATAGGATTATTATAAGATTTTGCTAAATAAATACATCCTTTTTTCCTCAGTTTAGATCTTTTTTAGATTTAAAGGTTCTAAAATGTGTTGGTACTTCCTCAAAAACATGCCTGGAATTGTTTTGTTTCATTCACACGTTTGAGTAACTCTTTATTATTAGTCTGTCTACATCTCCAAAGCTCAAAGTGCTGTCTTCCACCTTGTGATGTCATTCATTAAGCAGTTTTAAAGTTAACAGCTCTTTTTACCTTTTGTTAAGTAGAGTGCTTTCTGTCTGAGAGAAGAACTCAAACCTAAATATGAATCTAAATCTGCAGGGTTTGTGTGTTAAACATGTGTGAATGAAACAAACCACAACTCCAGGTCTGTTTTTTAAGGAGGAAACAACATTATAACATGACTAAAAGCTCACAAGAGTCAATTTTGTTTAATATTAGACTTTTAAAACCCGAAAGGCAGACCGCTCCAGATTGTTTGCTTGTACTGTGTCCATAACGATCTCTTTGGCACAAATTAGCGCTAATCCAGTTAGTTAAAGCATTAGGCCAATTGACGCTATACTAATTAACTAAATTTGTTTGTTTGTTTGTGTGTTATTTCATTTATATTCCTACTATAGATTCAACAGCTTTTATTTATACTTTTGATTCCCATTTTTTTCAGTGGATTAATTTTATTATTTGATAACATCACATAGTTTCAAGCAGTAGAATGTGTTTTTTTAACATAACTTTCTTTAATAATATACTTATATCTGTGTAATCAGGTTATATTATTACTTTACCTGTAATTTTCCACAATACGGTATTAAACGGATCACGTGTAACTGAATAAATACAACACAGATTGGTTCAGTTCTCAAGTCATTCTGCGAAACATTTCAAGCAAAGCAATCACACCTCCACGGACACAAGCAGGTGGCAGAAAAGTTACCCAGTGCAGCTTTAAACGAGGGCTTGTTTACTTGGCGATCTGGGCCACATCAATGTAAACAGATTTGAAAGCTTTTAATTAAGAATACAAACCCAGACCGACTAACCCCATTTCAACAGGTGTTAAACAGCAGAGGAGGCAGAGACATCTAGTGGTGGAAATGGATAGTTTCGAGTTGGTAAGAGGAACTCACGTGATGGAACAAATTTGTCAAGAGGAATTTCTATAACTATTTGTAAAGTATGCAAAGTCAGTGTCAGCAGAAACCCAAAATGGCAAGAAAGAAGTTACAAAATGGAGGCATGAGTCTATGGGTACAATTTTGGCAACATTTTTTTTTTACAAGGGCAGTGCAATTACATTTTAATACATTTTTAATTGATACTTTGCAGTTACATCATGCTGGGGGGGTTCAACATGCATCTCTATTGGCGGAATGTTCAACAGTTACCATAGACAATGCAATGGACAATTTTTTCAATGTTTTAATGTGATCTGAAAACTCAAGAAAAAATATAAAATGGATTCAAACAACATTACAGCTCAGTTTTGACAAGACCTGATCAGCAAACCGAACTAAAAACCTTAAAGTTACCTGTTCCTAAACCTAACCCCGATCCAAACTCAAACCTTATAACAGGCAGAATGTCTGTTTTTAGAGGTATTTTTGTGCTATAAAACCACCTGTAATTGAATAAATGTAAGATAGAGCTGTTTAGTGTCACGCTATGGAGCATTCCAGGCAAAGCAATGGCATATAAATAGAAACAAGCAGGTGACAGACCCCCAAACACAAAGTTAGTGCAAATTTAACCTGATTATGAAAAAATATATTGGCAAAAATCCAGATTTACATCCACTGAAAGTCAAATAAAATCTGGATGTGTTTTTGTTATAATTTTAGGTCAAAAAAGTCTGTTTTTTGTTTTGTTTTTTTAGACCTAGCAGCACAGGTGAATAGGAATCACTGTTTAAATGTTGGTTGCCATGGTTGCCCCTGGATAAAGTGTAATTTTTTAGAGAGTTCCCCTTTAGTACATGTACAGATAATAAATAGCCTAGTTCATGTAGCTAGAGTTTGCATAGTTAAAACTCGAAGGCCACATCTCTTATCTTCCGCACTAGCTCTTCCTCTTCCTCTCCTCTGTGGTCACTTTCTCCTTTTTCCATAGACCTTTTTTTTACTTGCCTGTCTTTCTTTATGTGATTTTCTGTTGAAAGCGAGCAAAGATTTAAGCAAGATTTAAAGCGGTTTCATTTTTGTAAACTTAAACTTGTCTATTTCCTTTGACACAAGTAGGTCAAATGTAAACAGGAAATTAGTCTATACTGACTACAGGTTCCAATATCACAATGATAATAAAAAATACTCTTTCTTTAGACAATAGAATGTAGTATTAATACCAGATGAAATGAATATCTAGTTTCTATACAAGTTTTAATATCGATTTGTGTCTGATTTTTTGATCATTTTGATTCCCGCTTTAACAGATACCAGTGTAGAGATGGAAAATGACACTTATTTCCTTAAAACACAGTTAACTTATTCTACAAGAGATCCAACTGTGTTATGCCACTATTATTTATCCTTTACATAACTACAGAACAGCTTTCGATGAATAAAAGTTCAAACATTATGAGACGCTGTATGACTAAACCAACCTGTAAATTACATCTTACATCCAATCCATCCGAGGACCAAACAGAATATCTGGATCCGATACCTTATTCAGCTATTTTTCAGTCTTGCCGCCGATATTTAATACAAGTATTGGTATCGGTGCATCCCTAAAAAACGCCACAGCTGAACAATTGACACCATGACCAAACAACAGTGCAATACTTACTTGTCTTTTCTTTTACCTGCTACAGTGTGTGAAACTGAAACTAACATCTGTTTGTTTACAGTTTGTTAGTTTGAATTATTGAACAGCACTAAACCTAACCCTCCTTGTGACCTGAGTCATATTTTGCATAATTATTAAGACCCGGGATTCCCTTAACGCTCAGCATTTTTTCTGGGGGTGGGATCAACCAAATTTTAAAATGGGATTTCCCATTCAGTTGAGCTGCCAGGTCTAAAAAAACAGACCTTTTTTTGACAAGACAAAGCCACAAAACTTCATCCAGATTTTCTTTTTACTTTCCGTTGATGTATCAGGGTAGCACCTTTCTTTCAGTACACTACATTTTTTCACAATCAGTTAGGGTTAGGGTCAGGTTTAGGAATGTATGCATGCTTGTTTCTATGGAGATGTCATTGCTCTGCCTGGAATGTTCCACAGTATGACTTTAAACAGCTCTACCTTACATTTATTCAATTGCAGGTCGTTTTTAGCTCAAAAATATCTAGAAAAACAGGCATTCTGACTGGGAACGGGGTTGCCTCTCCACGGATCTGACCTGTAACTTTGGTCTCCATGGTTTGGTCTCCATGAAGATAGAAAGAAGATAATACCATACTGTGAAACCTTCCAGACAAAGCAATAACTTTTCACAGAGAAAAGCATTTGATGGACCCTCCACCAGAAAAGTTATACAAAGCACCTTTAATATTTGCCATAATTACAGCTGCTGACTATCGCATTAACTCCTTCCTTGGAATATACAGTACGAACATGACATGGAACACTCAGCCCTGCCCTGGACAAAATTCCGAGGATTTAGGGCATTCTGTTGAAGCTCCTCATGGGCTACTCCAGAAGCAGAATCTGTAAATAAATAGGTGTTTTACTTTCAGTGTGGTCAGCTCCTCCCTTCAGACCAATATAAGTGTCTCTCCAGAAATCTGACCAGACCTGAAGAAGCAGCAAAACGTCTTAACGCTAAAAACATTTGATGACAGACTGGATTTTCTTCTTTTGCTATTTACTCCCTGGTCTAACATGTGTTTGTGTGTATATATGTGTGTGTGTTACAGCGCGCCGTGCACCAGTCCATGCCCTTCACTGTGTTCTGCCTGAGTGGACTGACCGCTGGGTGCCTGGGCCTTCTGCTGCCAGAGACCCTGAACCAACCTCCAGCCGAGACCCTGGAGGAGCTGGAGAGACCCGCCCCACACAGAGTCCTGGAGAGCAAGGTAATATGTACAGTACATAAGGTGTGTGTGCCTCCCATAGACTGTTTATATAAATGGACATTGCTAAACTGCGTCACGTTCCAAATTGGAAGTGAGCATGGGCGCGCTTCTGGCTCCAACGACTCCAATTCACGTTGTGTTGAGAAAATGTTGCCCCTCTATCCATAACTGCTGCTGTCAGGCTTCACAGTCTGTCAGCTCACGCAAACACTCACGGAGCAGACAGCGACTGCGCAATGAAAAACACCCAAAGCCACACTCATCACTCCATGCGGACAAGGAACGGAGGAACAAACCGGAAAAAGCGAGTGCAATGTGCCACTTCTAGACACAACTGAACAACTGAGTCACTGCGAACACTCCAACAATCCAGCGGTCCCAGACAGCAGCCTCCCTACACGCCACATCTGAACAAAGCCCAGAGTAACCGTGAATGTGCCAAACAAAGTCCCACTGAGCCATCTAACTGTTGTGTTTCCTTTAAAGTCCGGTGCGGTTTATTTGTGAAAAAAGGTAGAAAATAGACTATTTAATGACAGTGCGCTTTATAATCCAGAGCGCCCTATAGTGCAGAAAATACGGCACTCTACATGATCCTGTTTTTATTTCGCAATTTTGTCCATAAATCAGTATCTAAATCAAATCCTAATATGACTCTTCACTCCAAATTGTGCTTCATTTGACTGGAGCTGAACGCTATAGGTGACGTCACATTCCTGTATACAGTCTGTGGGATGCAGTCATATTTTTACTCACGAGTCTGTTCAAAAAGACAAATCGGATGCACCAAGGACTATCACGGGCCAAATATCGGCTAACATAGGTATCAAACCAATTCCGGTATCTGAGGAAAGCCTCTGTTATTACCGATTATAACCCATTCCTGCTTAAATTCAGATTACTCACACCAGTTGGAGCTTTTTAACTGACTTGGTCTGATAACTCCCGAAATCAGATAATGTCAGAGTTTTTGTCATGCATGTAAACATAAACATAGCAACTGATGACACTGTGTTTCGAAAGGAATATCCACCCATTATTAATCATTCGCTCGATCTCAAAACAGTGTTCAAATACAGGCCTACATGTGGGTAAGCATTTTATTAAGTCAAAGTAGAGCTGTGCAGGTTGAATGGTCCGTAAAAGCGTGCGACTTGAAACAGATGAAAAAGGAAATAAAATAAAAAAATTAAGTGGTTTTGACTGTTATCTGATCTATGTTATCTATGCTATAGCAGCTCTGTAATTGCCAAACTCTACTGAGCTAAAGGTAGAAAAGGTAGCTGTTAACTTGAAAAACTACCATTGCATGACATCACAAGGTGGAACAAAGCATTCTGAGTTTGGAAATATAGACAGACTAATAATAAAGGGTTACTCAAACTCGTGTGAATCAAACAAAACATAAGTGAAGCCATGTTCCAGATAACGTTCCAACAAGACTAAAAGCTCAAGTGAGTAAATTTTGTGTGATATAAGAAGTGCAAATTCTACTTTTTAATTTCCACATTATAGTTTATTGGGTGTGATCAAAATCTGAATAGAATATTGTCGTAGTGCTGGTTTTCAGATTCTCTATTTTCTATTAATAACACTGGAGTTTCCTGTATGTCAGTCATAGTTGTCTTGTAACAACGCATAACAGTATGAGAAGTTACAACAAGAACGACAATCCCCTAAACTTCCAGAGACAAACACACTGAGGCCATAGCTGTAAGACTCCTACTGAATTCTTGGTATTTCTTCCAGGGGGCTGGGCTTAGCTTATGTCAGTCAGAGCTGATTTACTGCTGAGAGTTATGTTAATAATTATCGGATGTGATTACAGCAAATAAGAAGGTTCAGAGACATTCCTAAACCCAACCGTGATCTAAACTGTGGAATGGTCTGTACAAGGACATAAAAGCCCTTGAATTGCCAATCTCTACTGAACTAAAGGTAAAAGGAGCTGTTGATTTGAAAACTATTGCTTCATGACATAGCTTAGACAAAATTAGACAGACTGATAACAAAGGGTTTCTCATGTGTGAATGGAACAAAACACAACTGAAGGCATGTTTCTGATCACGTTCGAACATAACTACTGAGTCAACATGAGTCAATTTTACATTATATACGACCTTTAACCTCACCTTAACTGATTATGAAAAAAAAAGTCAAAAATCAACATTTGCAGCATAATCATTAAAATAAAGTGGCTGTTTGATATTACTGTGTTCGGGGGAAGAATTGTGCTGCCCTGATACAAGAAAATCTGGATGTGCTTTTGTTACAATTTTAGGTCTAAATGAAGCTTTGTCTTGTGAAGACGTTTGTTTTGTGAATAGGACAACACTGTGTAAAAGTGGGTTACCATGGTTGCAGTAGAACTTTAAATCCCGCCCCTGGACATAATGCCAAGTTTACAGAAGTCCCCATAGTGGTTATAAGGTGATGTCATTTTTACGCCATAACACTGACACTTCCTGTTACGCAGTAGTTTATGGTTTGCTGTTCTGTATTGCCAAAGTGCAATACTGCCACCTTGTGATGCGGTGACTGCTGCTATACACATTTTACAAGCAGCAGGCCTCAAATGGCGGGAATATGACAGTACATAAGAGACAGTAATGTTGATAGAATCTTGATGCTGGCTAATGTGAACCAAACAGTTCCTTTTTGCATTTCTTGTTTCTATAGACATCTATGAGCTTCAGTATTTCAACAATGTCAATGAAAGTATGAATTTCTAGAGTACATTTTATATACTATATAGCATTATTTTTCTTTTTTGTCACTCAGACTCTCCTGCGCAGACAGACTCGGACTCATCCGTGCAGAAAGACCCAGACTCACTTGCGCAGACAGACCCAGACTCATCCATGCAGACAGACCCAGACTCATCCATGCAGACAGACCCAGACTCATCCATGCAGACAGACCCAGACTCATCCATGCAGACAGACCCAGACTCATCCATGCAGACAGACCCAGACTCATCCATGCAGACAGACCCAGACTCAACCCATGTAGACAGACCCAGACTCTCCTGCGCAGACAGACCCAGACTCATGTGCAGACAGACCCAGACTCTCCTGCGCAGACAGACCCAGACTCATTTGCGCAGACAGACCCAGACTCTCCTGCGCAGACAGACCCAGACTCATCTGCGCAGACAGACCCAAACTCACCCAAACTCACCCACGCAGACAAACCCAGTCTCTCCTGCACAGACAGACACAGACCCAAACTCAGCCGTGCAGACAGAGGCAGATTGTGATTGCTGATGTCAGTGTGAAATGTACTTAAATTTACCCACAAGGGAAATGACTTGGACACAGTAGCTCACACATCACAATATAATATAATAACAAAGAGCAAAAATATAAATATACATAAATGATAATATTAAATTTAAAATAAGTAGCAAATATAGCAAGAGACTAGTGTCAAATAAGACATAATTATACACATGTTCAGAGTATTTTGATCAGCCTTCTTCACACACTAAATCGTTTTGTGTCTGTTCTGTTTTCAGCCTCTTTTGTATGAAGACACACTGTGAGCATCCCACAAACCAGCAGGAGATTCATCTGAAGCACAACTGAAAATTCCATCGGGTTTTAAAGGGACTCACGACAGCAACACGGACCACTACAAATGGACTAAACTACTATGGTGTTTTCCTCCATCGTAGTTCACGAGAAAAACAATTTGTACCTCAAATTTTGTACATTCCCCTTTACAATGGAAAGCACTTCTGTAGCACAATAGTGAAAACTGAAAACAAACCAATACCAGTTTACACAATCCTCCGCAGATCTGATTGTTTCCTTTTCTGAGACAGACAGGTTTAATGCCATATGGTGGGATATTCTAGCCACAGCAATAACATAACATGGAGACTTGGACCATGCCTCAGAACAGTTACACAGTTACGTTTAAAAGAGGGTGTATTACGCAAAATCAACTTTTTTGTGCTTTGTACCATGTTATAACATCCCCTCAACAAAAACGAGATGTCATCCATACATGTTTCAGTAATTTAGCGATCTCTCCTGGGCCCTATTCACTCTCTTACGGTTAGCTCTTAACATTCTTTACAATACTCCGCCCACAATCCTACATCACCCATAATTCCACAGAACAATTCTAGGTAAACATAGAAAAACATGATACAAAATTTTAAACCACAATTCACAAACCTGATGCACTCTGAATGGGGAGTGACTTAAACCTTTTAATATGTTGTTTTTGGCGAATATAGCACTTTCAAAACAATAAAAAGTAACATGGTGATCTAAATATGTTATGTATTAGCAGTTAATACCCCATAGAAGTGTAATACCCCCTCTTTAACTTCCATTTTTCTTGGAGCTTGGTTAAATCATGACTTTATTTCACTATTTCAAGCTCAGTTAGCCATCAATACTAATTTAGCATTTTAATTATTTTTATTTGAATAACTTATTGCTTGTGTGTTGAATATACAGTACTACATTATGTACTTTAAATACCATCTACAACTGTGAGAAATACACGGAGAATCTCCTAAAATGGATACCGCATTGTATTGTTTTCAGTGCTGACCTTGAGACTGAAAACCCTTACACTGGTCATGCCGCTCTTTGCACCTTTTACTAATGGACCAATGGGACTGAAGCCGGGCCTGTATAAGCTTCCTCATGTGCCTTCTCACACATTTGTAATATTTCCAGTGTATAAGGGTAATTTAAAGTGTTATTTTCATTTTTACTATCTGTGCAAATGTGTGTGAAATGTCCTGTATGTTGTGAATAAGATTGTACAGTGTTTAATTATTTGTCTGATCGTTTATGTAGGAAGAAGTAAAGGAGAATTTTGGCAACATTTTGTACTTTTTTGTGGTTTTGTCTCACCCCACTCGCTACTCAAACTCGCGACCTTCTGATTGAGGAGAACGCTGAAGCTTTAAACGTGTTTGAAAGTGAAAAAGGGCGGACAGTGGAGCGGTGAGGCACAGAGGGGGACGGGTCCAGTGTAACTCACAAGAGCCCGAAGCCATTGCAGGACCTGGTGCTCACGTAATGCTCTTGTGTAGCACTTATACGATGCCACAGGAGGAGGTATAGTAATAGTAGTAATGGTAACTGGCTAGATCAGAAGATTGGGTTCGGCTCGGAGGGAAGTGAGGTGTTTAATAAGACACGTACACAAGGTGGTAGTACTTATCTGTGATATTATTATTTACAGTGTATAACAGACAATATATACAATATTTACAGGAGTGCACAGTTATGTGATTCAGTTCAGAGGCTATGGAGAGTTCAATGAGTTTTAGTCCATAGTCCGATTGATAATAAGCAGCAGCAAGATGTTATGTATTCCACACGGAGATCATGTGAAAGGAAAAAAAATAGTTCCGGAGATGGTTATGGTGAATGGGTGATTTCCAACAAAGTTTATGAGGAGCCCAATGCCCACAGCAGGGGGCAGTGGGTGTGTGAGTGTGTGTGTGTGGGTTGAGCGGCTGCTACGCCTCCTACCGCACAGGCAGATGCTTGCACTTAGTTTGATTTGGGCTCTAGGCCTTAGCTCGCCATCCAGTGTCTGAAAATCCAGTTGCGGAGAGTTCCGTTTCAGAGAGTTCCGTTTCAGAGAGTTCCGTTTCAGAGAGTTCCGTTTCAGAGAGTTCCGTTTCAGAGAGTTCCGTTTCGGAGAGTTCAGTTTCGGAACCTGGCCTGTGCAAAACAGGACCAGCAGTGAGTAATACAATTTTTGTAGTACAACTAAGACACTATAAATCATTTTTCAACATTATAACAATTTGTTATGATAAATCTGAATAATTATTCCATCCATGTACATGTATCAGTATAAATCAATATCTAGAGTACTCCATTTTAAATTATTTCCCATTAATAATAAGTAATATGTCACTTTAAATTATTTAAATTAATAATTTAACAGGGTCATATATCAATCATTATTTGTTGTCAATATCAGTACAGTCAGTCAATAAATTTCATTGAAAAGTAGTCATATAAATGGATGCGAACAAGTGAGACTAGCGCCGGCACCAGCTCACAGGTCCGTATTGAATCAGAGCGCTAGCATTATTAGCTCCGCAAGGCAACAAACAATCTCAACTCACCAGTTCCACTTAGTTTACGCTCAAACGATCACGACAGCACTTCGTCGAGAAGGTAAGAGGCATCTGGGGAAGTTGATGGCATATAAGTTACTTTAATATACTTTGAGCGAAACAGTGAGTTTTTAAAAGCAATAATCGCCTACCTGCAGCCGCTCAGTCACACCCGGGACCGACACAACACACGAATGAATGGGAGCGTGCGCGCGGCCATATTTAAAGATCTTGGCGCAATTAGTCTCGCGTTATGTGCGCAACGTCTCGCGATAGTTGCGAATGACAGCGGCCAAATTATTAGGTAGAGAGGGACAGCACAGAAAATACCTGGGTTACACTTGCCACTGAACCTATGCCAGTTTGACTTTGTATACTGAAAAACAAAACTACATGGCCTATTATTCTCACCTTTTTTTTTTTAACACTTGCCTGTTTTCTCTGTACAAGGGGTTGAGTTGTTAGACGTGCAATCATTTACCAGCCTGGTGTTTTGTGCCTTTCATTTGTATCTAAGACCTAGAGCTCTGTAGTCCTGTGTAGAACTATGCACATTTACTCATGAGCATCACATTTCACCGTGATAGTCATATAATTTTCCCAACTTTTACACAGTCCAACACAAGTGACCAAACCATAAACTGGTCCAAACACAACAAAATCAAGCACGTATTGTTTATTTGACATTTACACTTGGGACAATGGAAAACCACCATTATATTTACAATAGGTGTATTCATACAGAGGAAAAGAGGAAATGAAAGGAGGGGGCTGTTTGACATGACCCAGAGGATCTCACCTTCAGCTATTTTAAAAGATACAACACTCCTGTTTTATTGAAATAAAAGACATAATTTATAGGAGCATATTTACAAGTTTGAAAATGAAACTTAATATTCTGCTTTGCATTTTACCATATTTTGCTAAAAAATAGTTTGTCAACCCAAAATGGGGTCGTTTTTGACAGAAAATAGCATTTAAAGAGTTAAAATTGTTAAAATGATCAAGTCCTTTTATACCAATTACCTTCATTTGGGGCAGAAGTGCTGCACATTTTACAAACATGATTTTTCTTAAGATGCCAGGTGCTTTAGAGACTGTTTTCTGTTTTTCATTGTAGAGCCCCTAATATAGGGTGACCAGATTAAAAATTAAAACTGGGACAGGTTTGGGATGCTTTGTAATAATACAATTGTGAGTGCATAATTAAGAACATTATTAGTGAATCAGTATTACTTGTGAAACAGTGTGACATGAGTCTTCTGGAATTCTCAGGCACAGTTTTTTAGTATTTAGACAAAAACTTTTGGCAATATATTCCTCTCTTTACTGTGTACAGGGATCAGATTGGTCAAAAATAGGGACACCTGGGACATGTCTTGTATAGAAATGGGACAAATCACTGGTTTTGCGTAAATCTGCTTGAGCACGGGACACAGGGCTCAAAACTGGGCTCAAAAGTAATATAGTGTTGTGCTGAACTCACTGAACAAATACATCAAAACAATAAAAGGTAACATTTGAATCTAATTTTGTGTTGTGTGATAGCAGTAAATAAAGTATATAGTGTGAATGGCCTGAATATATGAATCAAAAGAAATAGAGTTCTATGTAAATTAATCTGTGAAAGCATCATATTGTGTTTATTGTGATCAGGAGAAACTTGGAAAACCTTTTAAATCCCAAGTGTTTTACCTAGTAAGATGTGTTCCAGGGTACTGCACAAGACAATCTCACTGAGAGTCAAACCTCAGATCCAGGAGAAGCAGTGTGGTTTTGGTCTGGACCAACTCTATACTCTCCATCAGGTGCTCTGTGGATCTGGAGGAGACATTTGACTGTGCTCTTGTGGTGTCCTCTGGGGGAGCTCCAGGAGTATGGGGTTTATGAATGAAAACTGAAGTACACTTAAAATGCTATTCTGCTCAAATAGGGCTCCAACTAAAGGCAGCACATATCGACAGCCCAATTAAGCCATCGAATAATGCTCCCACTGTAGAATCATCATTATTCACTTATTTATATGAATTTGGGCAGGGCTCCTTCTCATTTATATCAAATAAGGCTCCACTATATAATAGAAAGAACTCACTGGAAACACTGAAATCTTTTTATTGAACAGCATTAAATATAATATTTAATGCTAATATCACAGGTTACAGTATGAATTTTCTATTACAATATAGTGATATTTTATGTATACAGCACCTTTCTAAACAAAGTTACAACTTTTTCAACACATGAAAACAAAATTAAATACGACGTAATGAAAATAATGATAAAATCTATTAAATCCAAACTATTCAATAATCTAACATAGGTATTCTGCTGCAAATCTAACAGCACATGTCGTTGCTTAACTGGTCCAAACATACAATAAAACCAATACACCTTTAAATACCATTGAATGTGAGAGTTGTGAAACTGTAAAACACAAAAATAAAAGAAGAGTTTATGGCAAGAGCTCACCGTGTCATCGCTCTGAAATCCAAGAATGACACTGAACAGACGGCTCCTCTGCTATTTAAAAAAACAAACACAAACAAACAAACAAACAAACAAACAAAAAAATGTGTCAGCCATTTGATTATGTAAAACAATTGGGGTAGGACATTATAAGTTTTTTTTTAGTGTTGTTGATTTTCTTTTACCTTGCTCAAATAAATAATGAAATAAATTAATTAAATTAAACATGGCGTGCCCGTAACAGCGCCACCTCTGGCCAAAAGTACCCCCGTAGTTGCGGTCACGGAGGGCACATCTCGCAGTTGCATTAGCGCAGCAGTACCGCACGGGGGCGCTGCGCTCACGTCGGCGGACCACAACAACAACAGGAGAGCGCGCATGAGAGGGGGGCGCGGTGACGTCATTGTTGGGCTATTTTCAAGATGGCGCTGGACTGTGGCAACCGGGACGCCGCCGCCGCTCCGAGCTAAACGGCGAACCGGGATTTAACTGCGTTGGATCGGCGCGGGGCCCTCTCACACCGTGCGGGGCGGGACGGCTGCTTTTTAAACGACACGAATAAATAAACCAATAAACATGCTAACCCCGGAGAGTGTCAGTTAACGCCGTAACGAGCCCGTGCTAAAATGGTAGCCCCTTCGCCCCAGAACAACAAAACCTCCGGAGCTCGGCCGAACAACGACTCGCAGCCGCATTCGAGGCCCGCGGTCGAGGCTTGTTCGGCGTATTGAAGCGTGGTCATGGAAACGGGGGTCGGAGGAGGACCGGTCAGCGTGGATCTGAACGAGAATGAGGAGGCGATAAGCGGCGGGGACGGGGGGAAAGAGGCGGCGGTGGTAGCGGCTTTGAAGGCGTACCGAGCCGGTGTCAGCGGCGGCGGCGGGGGTCAGGAAGCGGGGAAGGGTCAGCTCTGTGTGACCGCTGGGGACCGGGCGGATGTAAACACTGCGCCCGCACTGCTCCAGGGCGGGTCGACCTGGGAACAAAGGTATGGAAAAGAAAAGTACACATCTGTAACTGTAATTTCCCAAAGAAAAATACAAATCTATGCAAATCTTGAGTTCTTGTGACTAGTGAGCGTAGCAGTAGGCACAGAAAAGAAATGCTGATTATAGCAAACTGTGGAAAGTAGAAGTGAAACAATATGGGTGAAAGTAAAAAGTTAAATATCACTCTTAAAACTCTAAAAATAACACTGCTCTTAATGTATTTGCTACATTTTCAAACACGGTAACTGTACTCAGTTCTTGTATCTTCAGGTAAGAAATATCCAAATGACAAAAAGTCTCAAATTAGCCCTACTATTTCTATTATAAGACGTGTCTGCCTAAAGTCAAAATATGTAACTTTTTCAAAACATGGACACTTAAAGCGACAGTAGCTCAGTTGTTAGAGTGTTGATCCAAAGGTTGGAGGTTCGAATCTCACTCTCAACATAAACATCATTGGTTGAGGGGTCAGATCCACTGACCCACAGGTTGCGGTGCGACATTCCACAGATGAACGCTGTCGTTATGTCCTTGGGCAAGACACTTAACCCACTTCACCCCTAGTGTCCACGTGCACTGGTGTATGAATGTGTGTGTGAATGGGTGAGTGGTTCCTTGTTGTAAAGCGCGTTGAACGTGGATAATCGCTGTATAAAAATGTGAGCATTTACCATTTGTTTTGTTCGTTTTGGTTGTTTATTGCTCTGACAATGCTAGAAAAACATGCGTCCACGGTCTGAGCAGGCTTGCAACAACACAAACCTGACTTATTTGGCCCAGAGAAGAACCGCCTCCTGCTTTTTTCCATGGAATTGTTCCTTTCGCTGTAACATTCCACAATAAGAAATTTGCCTATCTGAATGGAGAATATTCTGAAGTATGGCTTTAACTTTATATTTCCGTGGAATCAAGCAGGTGACATGACACCTCTAAAAAGTTTTATACTGTACCTTTATAATTGTTAGAATTAAGCAGTGCAAATGTTAGTGTAGAGCTTTTCTTTGGCAATAATTACACCATAAAGATCTAATAATTATAGCTGAATGTCTTAAAATGAGTACTGTATAAACTGAACCATGTAATCTTGAATCTTGTGAATTCAAACATATATTTTTTCAGAAAATAGCTATTAGATGGTTCTCAAAACTTCCCCCTTTTCTATTGTTTGATTTGCAAACATGACAGTACATACTAGTAAGGACAAAAGCATACATAGCCTGTAGCCTCTGTTCCTTTTGCCATCTTGTAATTAGTCTGTACCTAAAATGCTGAGAATCACTTAAAACATAATTAGCCCGACCTGTAATTGACATTCCACACTGTGTGCATTTCTCCCTCTTTAGAAACGACGTCATGCTGGACCTGGACAAGTGTCTCGCGGACCGGCTCACAGAGAGCTGTGTCATTTCTGGGATCTGCGCTGACCACACCGGCCTCAACGGGTTTCTTGAGTCACCCGGTCAAGAGGAGGTCGAAGAGAGAGAAGAAGAGACAGGAGAAGAAGGAGGAGGAGGAGGGATGGAAGCAGAAGAAGAGAGCGGGTTAGGTTTGGACGCTTTATGCTCCGCTAAAACATCCGATCCCGATTTGGATGATATTATCGGCGAAATCTGGGACCCGCACGTGGATTCGCCGTTCCCGGACGCGTTCCACGACTTGCCGAACGGTGACGTCGGAAACGGATGCTCACCTGCTACGACTGAACACACACAAACTGCTTGGAAGTCATGTGACGAAATGAAATTAGCCAATGGCGGTTTGCACATTCTAAGAACATCGGATAGCGGCGATATGGAGTTAGGTCAAAGCAGGGACTTCTCTACGTTGACTGAAGATGCGCTCAATTCCGAAATTTGCTATAACAGCTCAATAACAAGTGCCATACTCAATTGCCCAATCCCTGAACACGATGTGAATCACGATAGCGCGTTATCCGAAGAGGACGAGGATATCAGCGAGCTCAGTTTACCCATAAGGCCGCAGACTTTAAGGACTAACCTAAACCTGTCGGTGTCTCTGAGCTGCGACGCCACGCCCCTTTCTCCCGACGAGGAGGAGGCGGGGTTTTACTACGGCGAGGAGGGCTACGGGAGCGAGGACTTCCGGAGCGCTCTGGAGGCCGGGCGGAGGCAGAGCGCTCCAGACAAACTCCCAGATCTGATCGGGCAAAGCGACGGGCAAGACCCCAAGCTCATGCCAAAAAGGTTCGGCATCGCAGATTTCTTCACCAGGTAAGACGGGGGGCACCGGGGAGAAGTTACAGCAAGTTTTTGTAAATACAGAAGATGTTTATATTGCATTAAAAGTTCTATATTACACAAAATGGCTTCTTGTGTTACCTCATCAGAAACTTGCTTGGAGTTGTGTTTCGTTTCATTCACATGACTAATCCGTATTATTAGTCTGTCTACATCTCTCTCTGTTCCACCTTGTCATAAAATATCATGGTAATTTTCAAGTTAATAGCTACCTTTTGTTAGATTTACAGTTCCGGCTGAAATGATTCAAAGGTGAATGGAATTTGTATGAGTACAGTGTTTTCTGTTTGAGAAGAATGCAGCCAAATATGCAGGGTTTCTGTGTTAAACATGAATTAAACAAATGAAACAAAACTCCAGGTATGTTTTTGAAGAGGAAACTACATTATAATATAGAAAATAACATAATATGGCCCCTTTTACAAGTTGCACATTTGTAGGTCCCTCTATATTTGTATGGACACAAAATTTTGCATAAAACTCACATTATTTTGGTGGTGCAGTGGTTTAAACATTTGCATATTTATCAGACTCCCATCCCTCACTTGTGCACACTGTCATGTCTCTGGACACTCAGACGCTTTAACTTTGGGGAAAATAAAAGCAATTTGTCTTCCACACTAACTGATTTGAACTTCAGATTCGATACTACATATTTGAAACATTTATTTGATTTATTTGCCCAGCCTTAATAAGAACAATTATGACGTGGAGCGCTATAATTAAGAAATAGAATAAATGCTGTAAAATGTAATTGCTGTAACAGTGTTTCGTAGGGGAGCTGACACTGGTGAGAGTTGTTATTGTGTGAGAGTTTTTCTCTGAATCCCACAGGAGCATGAGCCCTGAGCTGCTGGTTGTTTTTGGACAGAGCAGATACGGGTTTATCCTGTAGAAGCAGATATTAGGCCTGTACTTGACCAAGAAGAAGAAGGGGAGTCACTGTTTATACAAAATGAAGTACTGGGAAACAAGGAATTTATATAAAGATTCAACTTGTAAAAAAAATACTTGTCAGCTAACTCACTGGCCCATTCACTTCTCCTTTCTGCTCTTGTCCCATGTACATTTTTATAATCAAAATAAAATGATTAGCTGACAAATTTTGACTGATTAATCAACTAAATGATTAAAAGACTACAGCCCTTCTAGTAGTAGTAGTCCTAGGAGTATTTGTAGTTGTTGCTGCTGTAGTTGTTGTAGTTCTAGTAGTTGTAGTAGTAGTAATAGATATCATACTAGTTGTAGTAGTAGTTGTACTAGTAATAGTTTATTTGTTGCAGTTGTAGTAGTAATAGTTTTAGTTGTAGTAGTTATAGTAGTAGTTGCAGTTGTTGTAGTAATAGTAGTAGTTGTAGTAGCAGTAATAGTTTTAGTTGTAGTAGTAGTAGTTGTAGTTGTAGTAGTTGTTGTAGTAATTGTAGTTATAGACTGCAGACAGAGCAGAGGAGCTTTCTCTTGTCACTTTGGTGTAGTTGTAGTTGTAGTTGTAGCAGACTGCAGACAGAGCAGAGGAGCTGTTTCTTGTCACGTTGGAGTAGATGAAGTTGTAGTAGTTGAAGTTGTAGTAGTTGTAGTAGTAGTAGAGTGCAGACAGAGCAGAGGTAGAGTCTCTTGTCACGTTGGTGTAGATGAAGTTCCTCCACACTGAGCCTTGCCCTGAGCCTGACCCAGAGCTCTGAGCTGATCCTCGGCTCATGGAGGAATTTCAGACCCTCACTGAAACCTGCCTCCTGCCTCATGCTTATCCTTGAATATAACACAAGGTGCATGCTGGGTTAGAAAGATTCTCTGAGCAAATGTGCCACTGGAAAACTGGGGATGTCATAGAGATCATGTGATGTGTTTTTTTTTTTTTTTTTTTTCGTGGCCGATGCCGATACCGATTGTTTAGAATCCAGACCGATGGCCGATGAGCTCTCGATATTTTTGAGCAGTTTATATATGGCCAGTGTTGATTATTTTCTCCAAACTATGTCATTGAAATTTTTTACTAACTCATCCACCGCCCTTCTGACCACAAACCTCCAAGAGAGCTGTGAAGTCATGTTTTGTGCAGTTATCTTTGCACAGAAATGTCAAAATAAAGCTTCATGTGTATTCTTTTTGCCGCAGGTCAGCCAAAACAAAACATTGGCCTCTGTTGGAGATTTAAAGCCTATAGTCGACATACAAAAACACATTTAAAAAACACATCACGATAAAATACTACAGCATTGGTCTGAGTTCATCTGGTGGAGTTCAGAAGCGACAGCATTTGGAATAAAGGATTGTTTTGTATATGTTTTAATGGGCCAGAAAGACTTTGTAGCGCTTGCCAAAAATCTGGCTAAAAAGTACAAATCTCGGCCGGGTTTCAGTCTATGTCTAACGAAGAGCTAACAAATATTGTGAGAATTCCAGAAGCTAAAAATATTCAAAAAAATTACCTTTTAAAAAGATGAAATTGAAATTAAATAAACTGCACATTTGTTTTGAAGCGACATTTTCTCGTGACATCTGATGACTCATGACTCATCGTGAAGTCCATTTGGCTGAGTGGCTTCCTCACCAGAACGATTAGCTGTCTGTATTGATCTGTTCTGATTAAGTATTGACGAGCTGTAGGGAAACAGTCAGCCAGCCTACAGGATTCAGCAGGGATGTAACAATCAAAATATTGTGATATCGTATCGTCAAAAGTCTCATAATAATATCGCGGAGCATCACAATATATCGACTTACAAGTTTCTCTGCTTAAATTCATTGTTATGGTGCAGCAACAGCTAAAAAAACATAAGGAACTACATAGACCATGATCCTTTGCTCCGTTTCTAGACTACACAAAGAAATAACTGTTCTTAAGCACTTTTTAATGTTAGTTCTTTGGGTTAAGTCTTGTCAAGGCATTTTTGAGAGGAAAAAGTATCATATTGACAGTTTTGTTCACCTCCACAAAATATCGTACCGTGAAAATATCGGTACAGAGAGATTTGATATTGTTACATCCCTAGCATTCAGTATTGGTGTGCAAAAATAACAGAAGATTGATGATATATAGTGTAGTATTTTTTGGTATCTTTCAGCATTTTTTTGCTTGATTATGCAATACACTATTAGTAGTTAATAGTATTCACTGTTTGGAAGATTTTAGGAAGATTATTAGTAGTTGTCATAATAGTAATAGTTGTAGTAGTAGTAGTGGTTGTAGTGGTTGTGGTAGTAGTTGTAGTAGTTTTAGACTGCAGACAGAGCAGAGGAGCTGTCTCTTGTCACTTTGGCATAGTTGTAGGATTTGTAGTAGTTGTAGTAGTAGTTGTATTAGTAGTTGTAGTAATTGTAGTAGTTGTCGTAGTAATTGTGGTTGTTGTCGTAGTTGTAATAGCTGTAGTAGCTGTAGTAATTGTAGTAGTTGTCATAGAAGTTGTAGTAGTTGTAGCAGTTGTAGTAGCTGTAGTAGCTGTAGTACTTGTCTTAGTAGTTGTAGACTGCAGTACATACAGAGCAGAAGACCTGTCTCTTGTCACTTCGGCATAGTTGTAGTAGTTGTAGTAGGTGCAGTAGCTGTAGTAGTTGTTGTAGTTGTAGTAGTTGTTGTAGTTGTAGTATACTGCGGACAGTGCGGAGGAGTTGTCTCTTGTCACTTTGGCATAGTTGTAGCAATTGTAGTAGTTGTTGTAGTAGTTATAGTAGCTGTAGTAATTGTAGTAGCTGTAGTAGTTGTAGTAGTTGCAGACTGCAGACAGAGCAGAGGAGTTGTCTCTTGTCACTTTAGTGTAGTTGTCGTAGTTGTAGTAGTAGTTGTTGTAGTAGTTGTAGTAGTTGTCTTTGTTAAATTAGAGCTGCATTGTGTAACTTTTCTGGTGGAGGGTCCTTCAAACGCTTTTCTCCATGGAGACGTTATTGCTTCGACCTTAAAGGTTGTATGGAGGATTTTTTTTTGTTTCAAGTTGTCAATGATAGCATTATAGAGATGCAGTAGCCTTGTAATTATGATGACCAAAAAAAAGAGAATAAAAATTCATCAACTCTGGACGTGGTGGGGCTAAACATTTGCCAATAGATAACGACACTGCCTCGTTATCTGTTAGCTGACAGGCTGTCAATTAATCTCCCTACGTTTCTAGCGTAACTGACTTGCCTGCGCGCCGCTGGTACGTGGTTTACGTACGCCTGTCACGCAGTCCACAGACGCAAGCTGCACAGACGCTGTTTACTCCACCAACGCAACAGTTCTTAGCGGCTTTTTTTGACCTATATCTTCCTCGCAGTTCGCACAAAGTTTGTTGCAATGGCAGACAAGAATCCATTAGCAGTTAGCCGCAAAAGAAAGTCCGTTTTTGAGGTCGCTGAAAGAAGAAGACAAGGGGAAAAGCAGCGAAGCCAAACTAAGGTGATTCTTATAGATTCATTCCAGCGATGGCGCGACTGAAGCAGACGCAGGGTCTAAAGACTGACGCACTGGTCGCCAAATTACTCCTGGACAGGTCACTTCTGCTTATTATGAAAACGTCCTTTATTTCCAAGAGCTAAACAAACGTTTTTCAGGACACGAAAAGCGATATCCTATGTCTGAAAACGTAATTTTCAAGGCAAAGAAAGAGTCCGCTTGCTGCTGCGTGTTGTAGCTAGTTCATTCGCACGGAATCTCCGCGCGCAACCTTCTCTGCACCCCTTTCCTGCTCCTGTCCCCGCTGCCCGTTCCGCTCTTCCCCCTGCTCCTCACTTCTCTGGGCACGGAATCTCCGCGCACCGCTCCCCTCTCCCCTCTCCTCTCTCCTCTCTCCTCTCTCCCTGCTCCGCTCTTCTCCCTGCTCCTCACTTCTCGTCCGCGAACGAAATGTCCGCACACCCGCTCCCCCCGCTCCTCACTTCTCCGCCTTGCCTAACCAACACTGTAGTTAGTTGTTTACAAGTCATGTGCAGCGCACCGGCTGTAAACAAACCTGTTTCTGGCGTAAAGAGGAGGCGGGAGGAGGCGTTTCTACGTAGGG